AGAGTGGAAATCAAATGTAATGGGACTATACTGGCACATCCAGTCCACCCCCAGAATTATATCCCATCCCCCTAATTCCATTACTTTTAAGTCAAATTGGAATTGATAGTCCTGAATTAACCAAGACACGCTGGGACTGATGGCTCCACTGGTAATGTCAGTTCCATCTGCTAGAGTCACAGTAAATGGACTGACTGCCTGATATGGTAGATGCAGTAGGTTGACAATCCTGTGGTGAATGAAGCTGTTAGAACTGCCTGTGTCCACCAAAATTTTGACTGGAAGCCCCCCTAAGTTCCCTATCAACAGGATGGATTTCCTCCTTATGGCACCAGATAAAGCATTCAAAGAGACTTCTGCAAGTTCCCCGACCCTTCCTGTTAACTCATCCTGTTCCCCTTCCGCATCCTCAAATTCAGTGTCCTCCTCTTCCTCAGTGCTCACACAGTTCAGACTTCCTTTCTTACACTGATGACCTATTCCAAACTTCTCTCCACACCTATAGCACAGGCTGTGCTTACGCTTATACTGCATTTCCTCCGCTGATATCTTACTAAATTCCTTGTGTACTGCATTAGTCCTCCTGGAGACAGGAGTGACTCCAGGCAACTTATATGAATTTTGGCGACCCTAATCACTCGTAGTGCCCTTATACATTCCAAACTTGGGTTCCATTGCTGTCCTCCTTGAAGTTCTGTTTTGTTTCGATTGGATTTCCAGGGAACACTCCTGCAACTCCGCAACTTCAAAGGCCTTCATCAGTGTTTGAGGCTTAAACATCTTCACCATAGGTCTAATTTCTTCCCTGAGGCCACTAATAAAACTGGAAACAAAGTAAAGTTCATCCAACCTGGGGGTTTTCATCAGCATTAGAGCTTTTAGTTCTTCAAATTTCTCCTCATATTCCTCAACAGTTCCTTTCTGCTGTAACTTGTTAAATTCCTCCACAATGTCACGAGAACTACTTCCAGAAAATCTTTCACACAAAAGTTCACTAAATTCCCCCCAAGACAACCCTGGCCTCACCAATTTCACTCCTTGAAACCAATTGTCAGCTCTACCTTCCAAAAACATCTCTGCTACCTCTACCTTTTGACTCTCTGCTATCTGATAGTTCAAAAAATATTTCTGGCATTTCCTGGTCCATTCCCTAGGGTTTCCAGAGTTAAACATTGGCAGTTCTAATCGAGGTACATTAGGAGTGAATTGCCTACCTCTGTACTCTTGTTGGTGCCCAATCCCTTCGACTGAGGATGCTAACCTCAGATGAGATGGAGGAGTCGGCAAGATTGGATCAGAAATTCCTCCTTCGACATCAGGGAGACCTTTCTCCTTCATCAGCAGCTTCAACACTGTACTGAGTCTCTGTTCCATTTTATTGAACTTCTGGTCCAGACTTCCCACCACCGCGTCCAATTTTGCATTGTTCTGCTCCATTTCCGCCTGTAGCTTATGCCGCAACTCCTCGGAACTCGTACTCTGCAGTGCAGCCATGGATTCCGCCAGTTCTTGCAACCGATTCTCCTGCTTCTTGAGTTGCTCCTCCAGTGTCCTGAATCGCGTGCTCTCAGCCATTTCTGATACCTTCGCGGCCAAGAATCGACCGCTCTGATACCAAATGTCAGACTTGCAGGTTAATTTCTGGAATTGTATTGAATTTGGGGGAAGAATCAGAAGAAAGAAACAAGATTAAGAAGAGGGAAGAGAGAAAGAAGAAAAGGGAGGGAAATAACAGACAAGAGAGAGAAAGCAGCGAGATACTTTTCATTCAAAAACATAACCAAAAATCTGTTACAGAAGGCTATTTATGTAATTGACCCTCAACTAACTTGGCCTATCACACCAGCACCGCCTATGTTATTAGAACGACGTAGTATTGCTTCTAAGGCCTTAAACGCACAACCCTTTGCATTAAACGACGTCCCATTCTATTTCCTTGTTCCTGACACTCCTCTAATATGTAAGGCAATTGGAAAATTAAATCTTACGGGCGTACCTAAGATTATTTCTCAATTAGGGCAGTGATTAACGGGCGTACCTTAATCACCGACACAGTAAGGAGTGATTGACTGTCATCGCTTGTTTGGCAGTTATAACCTATTTATTAGTAAATAATTGGAATTGCCTTTGTTCCAATGATCAATTAGGTGAACCACTGCTGAAGTTATTCCTTGGCTAGATCCTTAATTATCACTCATTTGATTTTAGTAAATTGTTATTTAATTTCTAGTTGGCTATTTTATTTTTATTATTTTACTTTTAATTGAATTTCTTTGATTGTCACATTCTGCATAAAAACACCCCCTTTGTTATTGTGAATTTGAAAAGAAACAGTTACACCTAATCCCTGTGGATTCGACCCTGCTTACCACTATCTACAGAAATTACTTTTAGTTTGAACAGGTTTTTATTATTGCACAGACTGACAACCTGTCATTGGTCAAGTACAAGTAGAGAGTAGCAAAATTAACCATGAAAGTGACCCTCTTTCGGCAAAAATTTGTGGCTTTTCCGTCTGCTTCTATTCCTCAAATCTCACCACCAGTCTCCACTGCCTTTCACCAGTCGCCATCTTTTTTTGGGTCTATTTAAGTGTGAATTCATGCCCAATATGGTTTTGGGATTTCCTTTCACGTTCGAGTTTAGTCCAAAGTACAAGGAGATTAAGCTCTAAATTGTTAACTCTTAAACAATATAATATTAAGTTTTTGTATAAACTTTTCTACTCAGCAAACCGGTGACTATGAAATATTTGTATGAATGAATGCTTGATTTCGTAATGTTGTATTGCCTTCGAAAAGAAATTAGACCTGGCCTGACTTTCTTCTCTATTTCTTTTTCCTATTAAGAAGAGGCGTGTAATAATTCTAAATTGTCATTGTCTAGTTGATATCAATCTTAGGGTAAAGTAGAATTACTCTTAGATTTTCTGACGTCAATTGGGAGTCGGTGAATAGTCTTCTAGGGTAAAGATCATGTCGACGCTATTGGAGGTGATGAAAGGTGCATTTTGTGAAGAAATTAGAAGGGAGATTATTACCTAGAGAAAAATGGTGGACTAGGAAGCGAGATTGGGGTTCATGCAATTGCAGGTTGGATTGTATGGTGCAGTTAATAGACGGAATGAGTTAAATAAATTAGAAATTGGGTGTATGAGATTGATTTGGGGACGTAATTTTTTAAGGAATGCCAAAATTTATTATGTTTTTGTATGTTGTTGCCTTAGCATCCATATTTATTATATTAGTGTCTACATCTAATTTGTTGATATTTACACTATACCATACAATTGGAACTGGTAATTGTAGAAGCCCCTGATTGAGGAAAGGGATATGTGGTGAATTTTGACCATGTAGCAAGCCATCGAATTAGTTATTGAATAGGTGAATTTTGAAATGTAAAATTGCTGGCTTTTGCCTGATTTTTAGTATAATTACGGCTATCAACTTGTCTATAATGCTACCTAACTTTCTACAATTTGAGGGAATGCTAATTGTATTTTTTACTTCTCTTTTTCACTACCCTTTTCAACTCAAAGGATGCTATCGTTTGTGATCGTTGTTTACGACCGAAGCATGATACTAATAAATATCTCATTGAAAGTCAAGGAAACTTAACATTATGAAAAGTGTAAATCTTGATTTGATGAAACTATTTATTCGTGGAATTTATAGATACAAAGCTCAAATTCTGATGGTGCTGTTGTTAAATTATTAAGGACATTATCACCATTATTTATTCCTTACTAGTTTCAATAACAACTGATGTCGATCCTTTTTCCCTTGATAAACTAACAGTTGGCATTTTCTTTAGAAGACGAAAGGAAAGAATAAGTCACATATTCTTTGTGAGTTTTGTATTTATAAATTATTAAGAAAAGAATTAGTCACAAAAAGATTGAGATCATTGCAGTTGAAACTAGTAAGGGAAAAGTAATGGTGATAATGTCCTTAATAATTTAGCAACAACACGGGTACCCTCTCAGAGGCTCTTCCTTCCCTCTAGCGGAGGGATTCTCTTCCTTCTCTCTAGGCTTCCTCCTCTACCCTTCCTCCTCCATAGGAGGGAGACCTTGGCCTTAAGCCAAGGTCTCCCTTCTTCTTCCTTTGTCCTTTGCTTTTCCTTTCATTCAATAAAGTCTCTCATAGGTTATCCTAGTGAGAGTTTTCTTCTCTCCTAGGGTGTCCTATTGAGAGTTTTAGTCTCTCCTAAACTATCTTAATGAGAGTTTTATTTAGTTTTGTTTCTTTACTTTTTCAAATCTTGGAGTTTTTTTAGATCTATATGTTAGATCTACAATTTTTTCAGTCTTCTCATCAGATTTCACTTTCAGTATTGAGTTTGAACCAATTGGATAGCAGATCTGAGGGAATATTTCAGATTTGGATCAATCTCGGCAGATCTCACCATCTTTACTGGACCTTACAACTGTTGATTAGTAGATCTGACGATTACAGCATGCACAAAGAGAGTTGCAGCGACTTATTCTAGGATGAAATGTTTTTCAAATTTATGGTCCTTTTTAGATTTGTCCTTAATTTCTCAAATCTTATGTATTTGTTAAATTGCATATCTATAATTTTAGTGCATATTTATCTGCCACCTGGGCAACAATGTATCTCAATTGTGCTGGACGATTTCCAGTAATCCTTGAATGAACTGTGTTTTATTATAAAAAAAAAATAATTTAGCAACAACACCGTCACAATTTGAGTTTTGTATCTCTAAATTCCACGAATAAATAGTTTCACAAATCAAGATTTACACTTTTCATAATGTTAGTTTCCTTGACTTTCAATGAGATATTTATTAGTACCATGCTTCGGTCTTAAACAATGATCACAAACTGTAGCATCCTTTGAGTTGAAAAGGGATGTAGGTGAAAAATAAATGTAAAACAATTAGCATTAGACCAAATTGCCTAAGCATTTGATACTTTTGATAAAAAAAAAAAATGATCAACAATATTAAAGACAAAATATAAGAGAAAGAGAGAAAAGTGTCGTAATATAAATAGTATTCATTTATTATATGGACCTGCGGCTTGCCAACAGGACAGAAAACCTTACAAGCATGTACTGCATGGTACGTAAAACAGTACAAACCCCATAGACATGGAACTCAGGAGCTAAAGTCAATTTAGATGTAGAAATGGTAACGTAGAAACTTGAAATCATCCTCGCATTGGGCTTTTATTCTTATTCTTCTACATCTTCATGAAGGTCTCAAACACCGATTGCCTTCTCCTTTGCCTGCAAATATTCAGTTGGCTTTCAGCTATGTGCATTTCTAAGTTGATAAGCAAGTTTAAAAAAAACACTCTTTAATCTGTATACTGCTCAAATTCTTGAAAACAGAGCGAAAAAATAATGTATTTCTCTGGTTCTTAAAAAAAATCTTCTACTAGCCATTTTCATGGATCAAGTGTACGTCCTTAGCATGATATACATGGCAGTTTGCGTTGATAAAGTTTTGGATCGGTATTATTACCTCAAAACTTAGATGCACTTGCTTAGTAGTGGTGAGGAGGAGGAGAACCGTAGTAGTGATGATAGGGTGGAGGTGGAGACTGGTAAACTGGGGGAGGAGGTGGTGGTGACTTGTATTTGTAAACTGGTGGTGGAGGAGATTGGTAAACCGGGGGAGGAGGTGGTGGTGACTTGTACTTGTAAACTGGAGGTGGTGGGGACTTGTACACTGGAGGAGGTGGTGGAGGAGACTTGTACTCGTAAACAGGTGGCGGAGGAGACTTGTATACCGGAGGAGGTGGTGGGGGTGACTTGTACTTGTAAACTGGTGGCGGTGGAGATTTGTAAATTGGAGAAGGTGGTGGTGGGGACTTGTATTTGTACACTGGTGGAGGCGGGGAGTTGTATACTGGAGGGGGTGGTGGCAGTGACTTGTAAATTGGTGATGGTGGAGGTGAATACACAGGAGGTGGTGAGTAGTGGTAAGGTGGTGGTGAGGACTTGTAAACTAGAGGAGATGGTGGGGGTAACTTATAAACAGGGGTTGGTGGAGGTGAATACACTGGAGGTGGTGGTGAGGAATACTGGTAAGGAGGAGGAGGAGGAGATGAATACTTGTAATAATCAGCTGCAGTTTCCAAGGGCAAGCCAAGGGCAACAAATACCACTAAAACAGTGGTAAGAAGAGGAGTCAGCCTAGACCCCGTTGCTTTTGCTTTGCTCCCCATTGTTACTACAAATTCTTGTTTTAGGCTGATATGCTTCTAGGCAGCATCTATCCACTTGGGATCCTCGGTGACATATTTTCTATGCCAACCCAATGTCACCAATAGTATTGCGCCAAGTGTCATGTTATTATTTACACTTTAATTTTCTAATAATTCAACTTGGCTTAGTTTAACACAAGTGTAAATAATAACATGACACTTGGCGCAACACTATTGGTGGCATTGGATTGGCATAGAAAACATGTCACCGAGGATCTCAAGTGGCCTCTACCCCCCTTTTTATAGCACTCAGTGGCTTCATTTTTTACTCCCAAGACTTGGAAGATGTAAACATGGTAAATCTCTTTCAACAGCTCTCAACAACTTTAGAAAAGTTAAAAATCGTGTACGCGTTTGAATGGGTTGTCCTCAAATTGTACTTTGATAGATTTGACACTCGTGAATATTCATTATTCAATTGTGTTTGGTTGAGAATTATGCTCTAAATTTTTGAATCTCAAGCTATGTAATAACAAGTTTTGGTATTATTTTGCAACTTAAGGTGTGTTTGATAAAACTGAAATATGAAATATGAAATTTGAATTCATTAAATTATTAAGTATTAAATCTAATACATTTGAATACATATCATATTCAGTGATAAGTGAATAACTTATCACTTAATTTTGGGAGCAAGTTTTGCCTAGAAAATTCAGTGTTACTTAATTAATTTAGATGTTCAATTTTTTGTTATCAAACGATTTGAATGTGTTAAGATTTGAATTTATTAAATTTAAGTACGGAATTAGATTATCAAGCAGGCCTTAGGCATGCAATGACTTTGAAATATTGTGTGAATGCTCGATGGCGTAATGTTGTATTATCTATGAATAAAAGACCATATACGGACCCGCTTTCCTCTCTATTTCTTTTGCCTATCAAGAAGGACGGTGTAATAATACAAAATGGTCGTTGTCTCATTATTAACAGTCAATCTTTGAGTAAAGTAGAATTCGTAATAAGAATTTCTGATACCAAATGCGAGTCGGTGAATTGATTTTTAGGCTTTTGGAGGTAATAAAACATAAAAGGTGCATTTGTAAATAAATGAGTTGGGAGATTATTATCTAGAGGAAACGAATTGATACGTGCAGGAAGAGATATGAAGAGACTATAGGTCTTCTGCAATACACTAAAATAACATTCACGTTGCACACTTTTGTGTATTGATATGTGTTCTTTTTTTCAGTTAAATTTAATTATTATGATAATTTAAAGAACATAGATATCAATCTATTATGTAACATGAAAATTACATCATGATGTACAACAAAAGATTCATTGCCATTCAAAGTTTGACCATTTAGTGTTGTAAGTCATCAAATTAGTTGTTGCAGCAGCGAATTTTGAAATGTGCAACTGCTTGTTCCTGATCTTGGGTCTGATTATACCTGTCAACTTGTCTAGTTTTGCCTAACTTTCTAGAATTCTGCGGGACGGTATTCTTTTTTAAAGAATTGACAAGGGGGCAATTTTCCGTTCAAGGGGGGCAATTTTCCATCTTGTCTTTTTGAAAAATGCTATCACATTGTATAGGCAAAATTTCCTTATAGATGATGAAAAATGCTATCAACCGTGGAAAGTTTATGTCTACAGATGATGAAAAACAGAGAAAATTCTAGTCTCTTTTGGGTAGGATTCTTTAAGTTGTATCTCTCAATAGAGATAAATAGTTCAAATTTTCAATATTTAACAATATTTAATCTTAGAGACATTAACACTTCTTTCACTATCCAATGATAAATATCAATTGTAGGTATGATACCCTAAAGAAACTATAAAATCTCCCATGAAGTAGTACTATTATATGTTATGAAATGAAAACAAAATTTATTGCTTAATTTGGATGTCAAAAAATCATTTGACGATTTCTATTGACTCTAGTTGTGAAGTTATACCTCACTAGCGAAGTCACGAGAATAAAGAAAAAAACTTAAGGAAGAAAAAAAGAACAGACGTGAATACAACAATTTTTTGATACCATCTATTTGTAATATAAGCATCTGCACCCAACTTAAGGCCAAAACAGTAAACGTGCATATAACTCTGCCTAGTAGAGTATTAATAAAGGAAGTCTTCCTAATAGAGACCTTGAAAGTATTAATTTCATCATGGTCTTTAAAATACTACTTCTTAATGTTTGAAAATGTCCTTTTCTTAATGTTTTAATTTTCAGATCAATGATTGAATATGTTAGAAAAGCATGAATAAATTTTTATTTTCTCATTGAGAAGATAAAAAAAGGTGATTGAAAATGTGTTCTTGATACAAAGTGATTGTATCCAATAAGAAAATTTTAAATCATGTAAAAAATCAAAATGCTTAAAAAAACTATGGCAATTTCCCAAATTAATGAAGTGGATGCATTTTAGTACTTGCATCTTAAACAAGGACTTGGTATGCAAAATGAATTGCCTATGTTCCTTAATTCACTCGATGAGCAAAAAATCTTAGGGCCCGGGGATTTAAAACCACCGGAAAAGTTTATAACTAATTTTTGCTGATGTTGTAATCAGTAAGGGATATGTCACTAATTTTTCCCTTTCGTATCTAAAGAAATCGACATCATGGAGAAAAGTATTGAGATCATTTATAGTTTAAACTAGCAAGCGATAAATTATAGCAATAAAGTCCTTAATTAATTAGTAATAGCATTGTCAAAATTTTTTTTTTGAGTTTTATAAATATAAATTCCACTAACAAATTGTGCATTAACCAAGACTCACACTTGTCATGATTTTTCCTTATGTTTCAATGAGATAGTTGTTAATATCATGTCTCTGCCTTAAACTATAAGTACCAGCTGGTAATATCATCACCACAATGATCACAAACTATAGTATACTTTGAAATGTAAAGGGAATAAAAGAAAGACAAACATGAATTTGGCGTTAGACCAAACTACCTATGTATACTAGTATAAGTTTTAAAAAAAATGGCCCAGTATTACTATTGACTCAATAATATTAAAGACAAAATATAAGGGAAAGAGAGAAAAAATGTCGTAACGTGCATAAATAGTAGAGCCAATAGAAGTGAAATGAATTGATTAATTGTATGGAACCGACTTTTGCCAATAGGATAGAAATCCTTACAAACATGTACGGCATGGTACGTAAAACAATACGTACCCCACAAACAGGGAATTAATTAAGTCGAAAAATTCAATTTACAAATTAAAGTGGAAACATAGAAAAACTTGAAAACATCCTCGCATTGGGCTTTTATTCTTATTCTTCAACATCTTCATGAAGCTCTCAAACACAGATTCTCTTCCCCTTTACCTGCAAAAATTTCAGTGGGTTATGGGTATTGTGCATTTTCAAGTAGATAAGCATGTTAAACAATTCATTAATCTATTTAATACACAAGTTTTGGAAACAGAGGGAATACTAATGCTGTTCCTTGGTTCTTAAGAAAACCTTCTACTTGTCATTTTCATGGATCGAAGTGTACGTATTTGGCTTGATGCACATGGCAGTTTGTCTTGATAGAGATAAAGTTTATCATGCGAAAGTTAATATATTGGTTTAGCATTATTACCTCAAAAACTTGGATACAATTGCTTAGTAGTGATGAGGAGGAGGAGGAGGAGAATTGTAGTAGTAATGGGAGGGTGGAGGTGGAGACTTGTAGATTGGTGGTGGTGGGGAATTGTAAACCGGAGGAGGTGGTGGAGGAGACTTGTATTTATAAATTGGTGGTGGTAGAGATTTGTAAACTGGAGGAGGTGGTGGAGGTGATTTGTATACTGGAGGAGGTGGTGGTGGAGACTTGTACTTATACACTGGTGGGGGTAGGGACTTATATACTGGAGGAGGTGGTGGTGGTGACTTGTAAATTGGGGGAGGAGGTGGTGGTGACTTATACTTGTAGATTGGAGGTGGCGGAGACTTGTAAATTGGTGGCAGTGGGGGTGAATGCACTGGAGGTGGTGGTGAGGAATAATGATAAGGTGGTGGAGGGGACTTATACATAGGAGGAGGTGGTGGCGGTGATTTGTAAACTGGTGGTGGGAGTGAATGCGTTGGAGGTGGTGGTGAGGAATAATGGTAAGGTGGTGGCGGAGACTTGTAAACTGGAGGAGGTGGTGGAGGTGACTCGTAAATCGGTGGTGGTGGAGGTGAATGCACCGGAGGCGGTGGTGACGAATAATAGTAAGGTGGTGGCGGAGACTTGTAAACTGGCGAAGGTGGTGGAGGTGACTTGTAAACAGGTGGTGGTGGAGGTGAATGCACCGGAGGCGGTGGTGACGAATAATGGTAAGGTGGTGGCGGAGACTTGTAAACTGGCGAAGGTGGTGGTGGAGATGAATACACTGGAGGTGGCGGTGAGGAGTAGTGGTAAGGTGGTGGGGGTGACTTATAAATTGGCGGTGGTGGAGGTGAATGCACAGGAGGTGGTGGTGAGGAATAATGGTAAGGAGGAGGAGGAGATGAATACTTGTAGTAATCAGCCACAGTTTCTGAAGGCAAGCCAAGAGCAACAAATACCACTAAAACGGTGGTAAGAAGAGGAGTCAGCCTAGACCCCATTGCTTTTGCTTTGCTCCCCATTGCTACAAAATGTGGTCTGAGGCTGATATGCTTCTAGGCAACATCTAGCCCCCTTTTTATAGCACTCAAAGGCCTTCATTTTTTACTTCCGAGGCCTAGAAGATTTAAGCCTAGTAAAATCTCGTCACCTTCTCTAATTAACTTTTCAAAGGCTAAACATCTTGTACACGTTGGAATGGGTTGTCCTCAAACTGTACTTTGATAACTTTATCAATCGTGAACATTCATTATTTAATATTGCTAATTCGTGTACCGTGCTCTAATTGTTAAATCTTAAACAAAAATTTTAAGAACAATATATTATTCAGTGTTTGTATAAATTATGCAACTTAGCATGCCGGTGACTTTGACATATTTGTGTGAATGCCGGTGATTTCATAATGTTGTTTTGCCTCCGAAGCAGGCTTAGACCAGGCCCGACTTTCTTCTCTATTTCCTTTTCCCATCAAGAAGAGGTTGGTAATAATCCAAAGTTGTCATTGTCTCGTTGATATCAATCATTGAACTGTTATATCTATATTCTACCCTTCAACTATATCTCTCTTCTTAGTTGACATCAAAACTCTAATTGAGACAAATCAATCCCTAAACTATATCTTGATCTCTTTTATCCCTAAACTCTTAATTTGGACACTTTTATTTCTATACTATGCCTTGATACATACTTTGGTCGCGAAACTTCTTTCTTTTCTCTAATTTTGGATTTTTTTTTGTTATGGTTGCTTGTCTAGTCACGGGTATTGTATTAACCATTGTACTTAAGTAAGAGGGGTTTCATAGTTTAAGGACTATAATGTCACAAATTATAGTTTAGAAATCGAGTTACAGTTGAAGGGTACAAAATGGCATTAACCCGAAGGAAACTAGAATTCCTCTTAGTATTTCTGACGTCAATTTGCCTGTCGGTGATTAGTTTTCTAGGGTAAAGATCATGTCCACACCTTTTGGTGGTGATTAAAGGTGCATTTGTAAAGAAATGAGTTGGGAGATTATATATTGCCTAGAGAAAAAAAATGTGCATCCAAAAAGGACAGGAAGGGATCCAAACGTTGACCATGTAGTAAGCCATCGAATTAGTCATCGCAGCAGTCAATTTTGAAATGTAATTAGCATTGCCACCTAACTTTCTAGAATTCGGCAGGACATTGCAGATGAACAGGCAGTTGTTTGAGATGTGAGTATTCCTTTTTCCAAGAATTGTAAGTAGACTAGAAGGAGGAAAAGATCACGAACTCCCCAGTACAAATGGGCAATTTTCCATCTTCTGCTTTTGGAAAAATGCTATCAAAATTGTTGAGGCAGATTTTCTTATAATACATCAAAATAGCCTAGAAAGTTGATCTATAGATATAATCAAAAGTACTCTTGTATTTTATGAAGGGATACCAAAATTAATGCTTAATTTGCCTGTCAAAATAGCTATTTGAGGATTTCTATTGAATCAAATTGCAAAGTTGTATCTTGCTGACGGAGCCCGCTGGCAATAGCGGTTAAAGGAGTCAATTCTTGACTTCGTAGTTTCATTTCATACGGAAGAAAGACAAAAATTTTGCGTTATTGTGATTTATTTTGCAGTTTATTTGTAGGATTGTTTAGCTTCTATGAGGTAGAGTCCTTAAGCTTTTCTTTTCTTTTTTTTTTCTTTCTTTCAAAGGTCCTAGAGTTGTTGTAGGATTTTTTTTTTCCGTTTGTAAAAGCTTACTGCCTATTTCTTATTAATAAAATTTGAATTTGCAAAAAAAATTGAATAATTGTGGTAATTTTCTTATATATATATATATATATATGACTTCATAATCATTATAATTTATGGTTAAATGCCCAATTATTAACAATATAAGCTTAAGCAATCCACAGAAATAAACGTGCATACTATAAAGCAAGGAAGTACAGTACCAAAAAAAAAAAAAAAAAAGACCTTGAGCTTGAAAGTATTAATTGCATCGTGGTGTTTAAAGATTACTAACTTTAATATACTTCTTTGACTATTCATACCAATAAATTAATTTAACATGTTCTTTAAAAGATTATTAACTTGTGATCCGATAGCATGTAAAGATGCTCAACAACTAATTTGTTAGGTGGGAATAAAAATGTAAAGATGCTCAGAAAAGTTACAATATTTGGTAGAGAATATATAATTCGGATACATAAAATGTGTTAACAGCTGGATGGATGAAATCTACACCGAAAAAAGGGAATTTTATTTGATAATTGAATATTTTAATTTTCCATGCACCACTTGGAGTAAAGAAATCTACAAAGTACTTTCGTTAGGAAGTCTCTTTATAGAGAAAAGCATCTTAGCAATGAATAGAACAAAAGGGTTTCATGGCTCCCTATTTTCTGAGTACTTTTATTACCATTTGTTCTCATGGAATCGAAGTAGCCCAAACCGATCGATGACAGCTCAAGTCAATGGATATATTAATACTATTCAAGGCACTTTTATTATCTTAATAATTATATAAGCTTGACAGAGGGGGCAAAACTGGAGCTATATATATACCCAAAAAGGAAAAGAAAAAAAAAAAAGCAACAAAAAAGTTGCCTGGGTAACTAAGGTAAAATTTTGATTCTAGAGCAACCAGTTTTCGCTTAGGGGTTAATTTGCACTGTGAGCTATTAAATGATTGAAGATGTCTTTTTGCTTTTTTTTTTTTTTCCTGATCAATGATTGCATATGTTGGAAAATAACTGGCTTTTTCTTTAGCTTGACCATAATTCTTTTAGCTAAAGTTCTCCATTTAAATGTTGTCAAATTAGGTTTACAGGAGTTGATCAGTCATTTCGTTTATGACAGTAGGGTCTTGAATTATTAACATAGAAGATCTACATTTTACATTCCAAGAAGGAGAATCTTGGGTGTTAAATCCCACAAATGTGAGGACTACAGTCTAACTAGCTATATGGATCGGTTCATAGATAAAAACGGAAAATTAATCTTGGGGGCAAAGTTTAATATATCTAAGCTTAAGCTTGTAATGTAAAATCTCTTCAAATTTTTGTAGGACAAAAGCTTAAATTATGTAGATTATTTTTGAAAATTTTCAATAATCTAAGAGAAAAAAAAAAAACCTAATTTTGTAAAATTTGGGAGGCGGTGATCTTGTTGTTATGGTTCCGTGTAATTCGGATCAATTGTTATATTTGCTACATTATTTGGTGTACAATTACATTATACTATATTATTATACTCAGCTGTTGTATTCATGATAAAAGTGATGTATATAGACAAAATATTTCACACATATATTTAGTATAATATTATAGCACAATTGCACGTCAAAAGTTTAAACTTATACAACAACGGATCAAATCGCATAAAATATGACAGCACCAGCCCCCTGTCCTTCTTTGCAAATGGCATTCCTATCATTACTTAGGAAGCCTAACCATTTCGTCAAACACCCTACTGCAAATCACATATATATATATATGCACCGTCAGATTAATTATCTATCATAATTCATAAAAAAAAAAAAAAAGACTCCTTCTGGAAAGACTTCAATATATGCTGCGATTTCAAGAGATCTCTGGAGCCCTGATAATTTTAGATCTAACTCACAAATACATGGAGAGAAAGCCAGAAGCATCCTGCTTAAACTTTTTGGAAACACCAAGACTTTCCCATCAAAGTCCTGAGAAGCAAATTTTTAACACACAAAATTTTAACCTCTGGAATGAACTTTTCAGAACACATTTTGTCGTGAAAAGCCCATATAAATTTGCCATTGAAAACGTTGTGCGTCTTCAACACAAAAAAAGGAAAAAGGGAAGGACATCAATTCCATATCATTGTCACCTAATACAAAGTCAGCTCTATGAAGAAAGTTTCACCAATTGGGTAAACTTTGACGAATCAACTTTGAAATATTGTTACTTGTGTTTTTCAATTAAGTCCAGCTGTCAGACAAGAAAAGTTCGAATCATAAAGTAATCAAAATGCTTAAGGAAGTATACGCGGATGCATTTCTGTCTTTGCATCGTCAACAAGGACACTGTGGTGCAGCACGAACCTTCTATGTTCCTTAATTCGTTCGACATGCAAAATCTTAGTGGCTGAGGGATTTTTAAACTACGGGAAAAGAGTGCTAATTTGTTTTGATGCTGTTGTAATCACTAGAGGACAGGTGACTAACTATTTCCTTTCATCATCTAAAGAAATGGATAAGAGCTAGTTTATCATAGAGAAAAATATTAGGATTAGTTATAGTTTAAGATATTTTTTCTGTATTCTACGCTCTAAGGGCACATGATAAGTTATCTACAAATTTTGAACTTTTGTACATAACTAAACATCGGCCCACCTCTTTTCCTGTGCCCTAAAAAAACTTATAGTATGTGGGGTAAATAATGGTGATAATAAGAAAAATAGTGATAACGCCCTTAATTAATCAGTAATAGAATCTCAAATTTTTGAATTTTGTAACTATAAATTCCCCTAAGAAATAGTTGCACTAACTCAAGAAATACTCTTTTAATGATGTTTCCTAATGTCTCAGTGCGATACTCGCTAGGATCATATTTTTGCCTTAAATTATATGTTTTTTTTTAAATAAAAAGCCTCAATTTATTGATAAGAAAAATGATTACAAGGAGTAGATGAAATAAGTTTTTTGAAAGGAGGACATAGCCTATCAAACCTTAGTGAGCGCCTCACGGATGCGAGGTACTCCTTGACGATCCAGCAGAGCCTCTCCTCTGGGCCTGAAAGGCAGCGCCACGCCTGAGGTGTAGTACTGCTGCCCTCCCAATTGCAGAGAAGCCAATGCGTCCGCCACCGAATTGGCCTCACGGAATATATGATGAAGGGATGCACCCATCCGCCGGATCAAATGTCTTATTTCCCGCAATACGATACACACCGGCCACTTCGACCTCATATCCGAGCAAACTAGTTGAACAAGCACCTTTGAATCAGATTCTACAGTCAACGCCCGTACCTCGCGATCTGCACACAGCTGGAGGGCGTGCAGGAGTGACCGCGCCTCCGCCTCCAACACGTCTAACTCTCCGAACTCCTTATAATAGGCGAAACACACCTTACCACAGTGGTCCCGTGATAGATTGCAATTTTATCATTTATTTTATTATTAATTTTCCCTATTACCTGACCTAATGTGGATTAATTGCTAGATTCTACTCACTTTTGATATTTTGCATTTATTTCAGGGAGTAGAACGAAAATATAATAACAGGTACTAATTTGGCAAGAAAAGAGTTCAGATGATAGAGTTTGTCCTAGGGACATTTTTAGAACAACAAAACGTGAGCCCTTGTTAGGCAAATTGGGCCGAAGTCTTCATTTTTTCGCACAGGAGCCGCTGCAAGGAGCACTACTTTATATAGGAAAATTGCGCAGGAAAAAAGGGTGCCACTTCGTCCTCTCCGGAAGGGGAGCCGCCGCACATTGGAGAGCACTTAGATAGAATAGGAATTGAGATTGCAGGGAATGAGCACTGCCTTTTTGTCTTCTTTAGTTTTTCGTCTTGTAGCATAGCTTAGGACTTTGACTTTTCCTCCTTTAGTTATTAGCAGCCCTTTTTTTTCTTCTTGTGTGTCAGACGAAAGGGAAGCTATGAATTACCTTTTGTAGTATTACTATCTATTCGATATTCGGACAAGTTGAATTTTCCAGATTTCAAAGGATAATGGCTGCATTTCTCGCTTCCCTTTTGTATGGGTTTAGTTCATCAAATATGAACTAATTTCCTTGCTCTAGTCAAGGGACAACGGATGCTCTGATTCGCCTAAAAATTGTGAGATCGATTTAATTTTATTTTTTATTTATTTATTGGTATTTGCATATTCTCTGATTGTAGTGCTTATGGTTGTTTAATTAATTGATTGTCTTGGATCCGAATAATTAATTAATTTAATAATCTATTGTCAATTGAGGTGTTAAATCCGTAATTGTTTAATTACCTCAAAATAATGACAACTGGCATGATTAGATTTATGTCAGGGGAATACGCGGGCTAATCTAAAATAACCCTGATAGTGCGTTATTTGGTTAGAATAGGGCTCCTCTAATATGTAAGGCAATTGGGGAATTAAATTCTACGGGCGTACTTAGGATTATTTCTCAATTAGAGCAGTGATTAACGGGCGTACCTTGATCACCGACACAGTAAGGAGGGGTTAACTGCCATCGCTTGTTTGGTAGTTATATCCTATTTATTGATAAATAATTGGAATTGCCTCTGCTTCGATGATCAACTAGGTGAACCATTGCTGAAGTGTTTGAATATTTTTGTTAAAAATATGATTAAGAATATTAAAGACAAAATATAAGAGAAACAGAGAAAAGTGTCGTAATATAAATAGTATTGATTTATTACATGGAACCTGCGGTTTGCCGGCAGGATAGAAAACCTTACAAACATGACATGTACTGCATGGTACGTAAAACGATACAAATCCCATAAACAAAGGAACTAAGGCGCTACAACCAATTTAGATATTGAAATGGTAACGTAGAAAAACTTGAAATCATCATCTTCACATTGGGCTTTAATTCTTATGCTTCTACATCTTCAAGAAGGTCTCAAACACTGGTTTCCTTCTCCTTTGCCTGCAAATATTCAGCTGGCTATCAAGTGTTATTGAACAAGTGTTATTACCTCAGAAGCAATTGCTTAGTAGTGGTGAGGAGGAGGTGGAGACTTGTATTTGTAAACTGGGGGAGGAGGTGGTGGTGACTTGTAGTGGTAAATTGGTGGTGGAGGAGATTTGTACTTGTAAACTGGGTGAGGAGGTGGTGGTGACTTGTAGTGGTAAACTGGTGGTGGTGGAGACTTGTATTTGTAAACTGGGGGAGGAGGTGGTGGTGATTTGTACTTGTAAACTGGTGGTGGTGGAGACTTGTACTTGTACACTGGAGGTGGTGGTGGAGGAGACTTATATTTGTAAACTGGTGGCGGAGGAGACTTATACTTGTAAACTGGGTGTGGTACCGGATGAGGAGGTGGTGGTGGTGACTTATACTTGTAAACTGGGTGTGGTGGTGGCGGAGGAGACTTATACTTGTATACCGGATGAGGAGGTGGTGGTGGTGACTTATACTTGTAAACTGGGTGTGGTACCGGATGAGGAGGTGGTGGTGGTGACTTATACTTGTAAACTGGGTGTGGTGGTGGGGGTGGTGGAGATTTGTACTTGTAAACATGATGAGGTGGTGGTGGGGACTTGTATTTGTACACTGGTGGAGGTAAATGCACTGGAGGCGGTGGTGAGGGATAGTGGTAAGGAGGAGGAGGAGATGAATACTTGTAGTGATCATCAGCTGCTGTTTCTGAGGGCAAGCCAAGAGCAACAAATACCACTAAAACAGTGGCAAGAAGAGGAGTCAGCCCAGACCCCATTGCTTTTGCTTTGCTTCCCATCATAACAACAAATTCTTGTTTTAGGCTGATATGCTTCTAGGCAGCCTCTAGCCCCCTTTTTATAGCACTCAGTGCCTTCATTTTTAACTCCCAAGGCTCGGAGGATGTAAGCATGGTAGGTCTTTTTACAGCTCTCAACAACTTTAGAAAAGTAAAAAATCTTTTGCAGGTTGGAATGGGTTGTCCTCAAACTGTGCTTTGACAGATTTGACAAACGTGAATATTCATTATTCAATTGTGTTAGGTGGAGGGTTATGCTCTAAAGTTTTGAATCTTAAGCTATATAATAACAAGTGTTCGTACTTTTATGCAACTTAGCCATGCATTGACTTCGAAATATTATTGTGTGAATGCGATTGATTTCGCAATATTGTACTATCTATGAAAAGAAGACCGGATGCAGCCGACTCCCCCCTCTACCTCTATTACCAATCCTATCAAGAAGGATTGAATCACATATGTTATAAAAAATAGTATATCACTCTATATATTTCACTTAATGTAAGTTTTAAATTATTCTTTTCAATTACAAACCCATCATCAAACATAATTAATAAAAAATAATCAAAAAAAATCTGTAACCAAAATATTACAAAGAGTGAAGTTTAACACCATAAAAATTTCAGTAACTAACTTTAATATGTTGATAAGAATATTTATGATGTTAAAGTTTATTTTTTTTTGTAATATTTTGGTTGCAAATTTTTTGGTTATTTGTTGTTGATTGTCTAACAATGAGTATGTAATTGAAAAGAGTAATTTGGATATTATGTTAAGTGAAAAATATAAATAATATACTATTATTTGATGTTATAAGCGATTTGATCTTTAATGATAAATAACAAATTTTATATTTTTCTTTAATGTGTGGGTTGCTATTAAATTAATTAAATAATGTAGTAAGATGGGGGGCAATGATAAAATCATATTATTTTCTCTTTCATAATATCATTTTTTAAATTATTGATTGAATTTAAATGTTATAACTTCAAGGAAGATTAGTGTAATTTTTAAAATCTGAAGGGAGACCAGTAGAATAGTCAAAATCTTCAGGGGAGGTTTCTGAAATTATCCCCACCAAATTTGCTTTTCATCTCTTTCTTTTTTCCATGTTAAACTGATTGAAAGCAGTGTATCACACTAAGAGAGCTTCTATGGAAGCACGATGCAACCAATCAGGGAATTTTGTTGTTCTTTCTTTCTTCTTTTTAATTTCAAGAACAATACTTAATCCCAATTAAAGAATGCTTCGGATTTCATAATTTTACCTATGTTTTGCAAAGCACAGAAAGAAAGAAAAGAAAAAAAGAAGGGAAAAACCCAATTCTCCACAGTATCGATTCCAAAAGGGGTGAAAAAGGAAAGAGCACAATCTTTACTCCATGTAATCTGCAATGAACTGGACTATACAATTAAACGTTGAATGCACTATTCAAAAGCCATGGACACGTTTAGTTTGTCGGTGGGTTTCAATGAAAATTAGTCTCTTTTTTTTTTTCCAATTACTCAATTATTTTTAAACCATTAGTCATCCCAACGTTAGTGATGTAATTTAATTAAAACATTACAGCTAGAGCTATATTAGTCATCCAACAGCTTATAGGACTATTTCTCCTATAAGTTGCTCAATGCTTGCCGTTCTATTTCACACTAATGTATAAGTAACAATTCAGGTTAAGAGTTATTAACACGTATTCTTTTTAAGAGTTAAAGTTAATTAAGGGTATTATTATGATAATTTAAAGAGTATAAGTATCAATCTATTAGAGTGTACACACTAATACTAATGCATAATATTAGAGTGTACACACCATTCAACGATTGACATTATTATTCATCAAGTTATTATTCATTTTAATTTTACAATTGAAACTCATAAAAACAATCAAACAAAAATTATTTGAATACAATCCAACATGATGAAATAAATGCAACTAAAATAGTTAAGTTTTCATTTTTGGTAAAAATACAATCACTAATTCATTATTGTGTTTGTGCTTTTTTTTTTAGAAAAAAGTGTTATTCTATTAAATGTAATTAGAAATTTAGTATAAATGTATTAGTAAATTTAGTATAACTAATTAATAAATTCTATTAGTAGACATGTCTAATTATTCGTATAATTGATAATATTAATTATATTACATACACTAATATACATTATATAATACATCTAACTAATAATATCATTATCATAAGTTTATAACTAATTAAATTACATATTATATATAATTATATATATATAATTTTTTTTGCGGGGGATGGGGCGGGGGTATACTCCCCCGTCCCCTGCCCCGTTTCTAAACGGGGGGAAAAAATTCCCCCCTCCCCGCCCCGAGAGCCCCCCGCGGGGCGGTTGCCTGCGGGCACCCGCCCCCATTGCCATCCCTATCTATTACACACTAATGTATAAGTAACAATTCAGGTTACACACTCTCGTGTATTAACACGTATTCTTTTTAAGAGTTAAAGTTAATTAAGGGTATTATTATGATAATTTAAAGAGTATAAGTATCAATCTATTAGAGTGTACACACTAATACTAATGCATAACAAAAGACTCATTACCATTCAACGATTGACCATGATATGTTTGTAAGTCATCAGATTAGTTATTGCAGCAGTGAATGTACAACTATCTGTACTTGATCTTGGGTACGATTGTACCTATCAACTTGTTTATAGAGTTTACCTAACTTTTTAGAATTCTGCAGATGAAGAGGCCGTGTTTTAGGCGTGAGTATTCTTTTTTCAAGAATTGACAAATAGACGTTTAAGGGGGCAATTTTCCATCTTGAATAGGCGTGAGTATTCTTTGTTCGAGGAAAGATCATGAATTTCCCCGTTTAAGGGGGCAATTTTCCATCTTGTGTTTTTGAAAAAATGCTATCACGTTGTATAGGCAGATTTTTTCCTATGGTACATCAACCATAGAAAGTCTTTGTCTACAGATAGTGAAATAGAACTCTTGTATGCTATGAGATGAAACCAAAATTTAAGAGTAAAATATAGTAAATCGCCTTGTGGTTTGGGGTTCGATCATGAAGCTCCCTCATTATTTAAAACCTCTACGTAATTCCTTTGTGTTTTGGATTAAATTAGAACGTGGGTGGAAATCATCCAAATTAACGGAAAAATCCAAAATGTCTATGCTACCCTCTTATTTCTTTTGTTTCTTGTTTTGTTTTATTTCCGGTTTTTTAAACATGAGCATTTTTGTTTACCAAAAGTTAACTGCGCCAAAATCAAAATTGTAAAATGTTTTATATATGTAAAGATAACATTATGGATCAAAATAAAATTTATAAAAAATTCTTTTCACGTATCAAACTCCATGAAATTGTTGTAATTGGTCAAGTACAATTGGAGAGTAGCAAAATTAACCATGAAAGTGACCGTTTTTCGGCAAAAATTTGTTGCTTTTCCGTCTGCTTCTATTCCTCAAATCTCTCCACCAGTCTCCACTGCCTTTCACCAGTCGCCATCTTTTATTGGGTATATTAAGTGTGAATTCATGCCCAATATGGTTTTGGGATTTCCTTTCACGTTCAAGTTTAGTCCAAAGTACAAGGAGATTAAGCTCTAAATTGTTAACTCCAAAGTACAAGGAGATTAAGCTCTAAATTGTTAACTCTTAAACAATATAATATTAAGTTTTTGTCTAAATTTTTCTACTCAGCAAACCGGTGACTATGAAATATTTGTATGAATGAATGCTTGATTTCGTAATGTTGTATTGCCTTTGAAAAGAAATTAGACCTGGCCTGACTTTCTTCTCTATTTCTTTTTCCTATTAAGAAGAGGCGTGTAATAATTCTAAATTGTCCTTGTCTTGTTGATATCAATCTTAGGGTAAAGTAGAATTACTCTTAGATTTTCTAACGTCAATTGAGAGTCGGTGAATAGTCTTCTGGGGTAAAGATCATGTCGACGCTATTGGAGGTGATGAAAGGTGCATTTTGTGAAGAAATTAGAAGGGAGATTATTACCTAGAGAAAAATGGTGGACTAGGAAGCGAGATTGGGGTTCATACAATTGCAGGTTGGATTGTATGGTGAGTAGGATCGAATCCACAGGAACTAGAAATAATTTATTTCTTTTAGAGTCCAGAGATGAGGGGTTTTTATAAAAATAACTAATTAACTAAATTAAAACAACGCATGAAGATAGATATGAATGAATCAACAACAGATAAGACTCTAGCCAAAGGTACAACTTTTCAGACACGGTCCATTCAACTGATTACTGATGCAAAGATAATTCAATTACTCATTAATAGATTGATTATAGTTGTCGTACACGCGATAAACAATCAACTCTTCCTTACTTTTTCGATAGTCAAGGTACGACCATTAACTATTTCGCTAACAAAAAAATAATCCTAGGTACGACCGGGGGATTTAATTTCTCAATTGAATTAAGAATTAGAAAAGCCCAACCCTAATCAACAAACACGCTACGACGGTTTGTTTAAATTAGATCAGACGTTTTCCTAACATGGGACCAATCACGCTAGTCGCCACTGATATTAATCAATCAAACAATTACGGATTTAACCGGTTAATTTGGCAGTAGATTATTAAGTTAATTCGAATATCGGACCCTTGACATTCAAATAACAAAACAATCATAAAAAGTTAAATCAGAAAACGTGCGAATACCAATAAATAAAAGAAATAAGTAAAATAATTCGATTTCACAGATATTTGGAACCGAATTTTCAAATTGACCTTCGACTAAAAATTGAGGATTTAGCTACGCATCCTAGAAGAAATTCTGCCAGACTCCATTGAATCTAGTTGCAATTGGTTTTCCTCTCAAACTAACGAAAAGCAAGATGAATTGAGAGGCTAAGTGGCCGTCCTCCCCACCGAGATTGTTCCCTGGCCAAGGTATTAATCAAGCGGGATTCCGGCCTTCTTTTTCTCTTTGTTTTCTAATTGAAGTCTACTACTAAATAACAACTAGTCTCCTAAATAGAAAAATAAATCACAAAAGAAATTATTCCAAGATTCCTAATTCAACCATAAAACTAATAATGAAATTTCAAATCTTCCAAATCTTCCTCTAAAACTGTCCAGAGTTTGAATCAAACTTGGAAACAGGCCTTGAACATGCGAATCCCAAATCCTTCAGCCTTGACAACCAATTTGCAGAAAATCGCCTATTTTTAGCAACTTTTGCTCTACCGCCCTACAATTAGTACAATTAACCAAATATAAGTAGAATTTGATAATTAAAACAATATTTGGCTTGAATAAAAGGAAAATCAATCATAAATTTAATGACAAATTTGAACCTATCATGCCTATACAATGTGATAGCGTTTTTTCAAAAAGACAAGATGGAAAATTGCCCCCTTGAACGATTCTTTAACTTGTATCTTTCAATAAAGATAAATAGTTTAAATTTCAATATTTAACAATATTTAATCTTACAATCATTAACACTTCTGTCACTATCCAATGACAAATATCACTTGTAGGTATGATACCTAAAAGAAACTATAAAATCTCTCATGAAGTAGTACTATTATATGTCATAAAATGAAAACAAAATTTATTGCTTAATTTGGATGTTAAAAAATCATTTGATAATTTCTATTGACTCTAGTTGTGAAGTTATACCTCACTAGCGAAGCCTGTATGACATATTGATTAAGCAGCCAATTTCTTGAGTTCGTATTTTTGAAGTCACGAGAATAAAGAAAAAAACTTAAGGAAGAAAAAAAAGAACAAACGTGAATACAACAATTTTATGATACCATCTATTTGTAATATAAACATCTGCACCCAACTTAAGGCAAGGAAATTAGATACCAAAACAGTAAATGTGCATATAACTGTGCTAGTGTAGTTTCACCAACAAGTGAAGTCTTCCTAATAGAGCCCTTGAAAGTATTAATTTCATCATGGACTTTAAAATTCTACTTCTTTCACTGATTTGTATGAATAAATTTAATTTGTTATCATAAATTTTGCTAATTTTTTTATAATTTTTTTTCATAAGAGCACAATTATCCACAATAGTGGGATCAATACAAGCTGGTTACTGACGAGTGCGGGGTATACATATATCAATTAGTTCATCTACAGTCAAGTTTTACATTTATAAATTCTAAATACCGCACACGTGATTTTTCTCAAGTATACGAGTCGAGAGCGAGTATAGGGTATTAAAGGTCGATCCCACAGGGAAAATTTTCAATTACTAGTAGTTTTCGAACTCCATTATTATCTAGACTACCATAAACATAAAAGTAATGAAAATAATACTAAAAACCTCCTAGAGATATGGAATGCCTTACTACTCATGCAAATGAGATTACTGATTAAATGAATGATATTATCTTGACTAGTTATGATGTAATTTTCTAATGTATGTGAAACCTACTCTCGTAGTGAATCAACTATACATATAGCTAAACCATACTTACTCTCGTGGTTATGAAATTAATTACAAGTTCATTTTTTCTATGAAATTATATGAAACAAGTCACTTAGGTCACAAAGGTGTTCCTCTACTCTCATGAGTGAACTCCCTAAATTTATCACTTCCTTGAACTAGTGTTAAACTCCAATTCTCATTACAAACTTAACACTTTTAGATAATCACAACTAATGGCCAGTTAATCATGATTAGAAAAGCAAAAGTGATAAATAACTTGCTCAAAAATAACATCATCAAATAACCAGTTAAATATCACAAACAAGATATAAAAAGGTCATCCATACTCTAGGCATAAACTTTAACTAAACATGATAAAAAAAAAAAAACAAAGCCAAATTTGTAGTATAGTTAAATATGAAATCAAATACAAAAGAGAAAGTAGTAGAAGAGATATCACCCTTGTCACATGAGATCAACCTCTCTATCTTTGCTCCTGAATCTTCATTCAAACCTAACTATAAATACAAGAAGGAAAAGCTACACTAACTATACTATACTACCCTAACTAATGAACTAAGGAAATTCTAGTGAAGACTATGTTTTTGTGGAGTTTCTCTAACCTTCCAAAGTTGTGAAAATGTTCTTCAAAGGCCTCTATTTATAGAGGATTCAAGAGCCAAATGAGTTGTTTCTAATTGTAATTTTTGACTCTTGAAACTCCTATGAGTTGTCTTTCAAACTTTCCACACTTTTCTTGATCAGATATAGCCGAAATTGATAGTTGGAATTGAGATGAAAAAGTTATGTGAAAGCAGGGCAAGTTGCAGAAAATAGAAGAGAATGCATGACCTCAGGAATACGCGACTTCAGGTCGAGTATTGATAGCTCGCGTTTTCACTTCTATGCATTTGGCACCACTTCAACTACTATTTTCTTAATGATAGAGGCCGAACTAACTCTTGTACAAAATATGAAAGTTGTAGCTCTTTGAGTTAGGGTTCTAATGCCTTAAGAATCATCTCATTTGGAGCTCTGTGGACTAAGAAATGATGAAAATACCCTCGACTAGCCAGAGCTCTGTTTTAGCTTTCGAGAACAGAGTTGCACTTCTGTATTTCAACATTTTGACAAGGAAAATGACTGACATGGGTTTCGATGCCTTCATGCCAAATGTAGATCTATATTTTAGCTTCAAATGGTTTAAGAATCACCTTAATCCGATCATTGTAGCTCAATATATTGCCGAAATACGACAATATGTCAAAGCTACAAAAATTTTCTTCTTTTATTCTTGATTGCATTTCCTCTCTTGCACTTTGTATTCTCTTTTTATCACTTCAAAACATCATCAATCATCTAATTATCTTCTCAAATCATGTCATTTGATGATTGAATCATTAAACCTACAAAAACATGAAGTTTTCACCATTAAAATCCATAGAAATACAATTTTTACACTTCAAACCACAAAATGCATATTTTCACTAGATTCCTAGTTAATTAGTTATAAAAGTAGTTAAAACACACCAAAACTAACTAATAAAACATATTTAAAACACGTAAAATATATACTTATCAGTTACTACCAATCAATATTACATATAAATTTCTAAGTGCCTTTATCACCATTTTCTCTAGCTAGTGTGAATTGGATTGGCCTCATGGAATCGAAGTAGCCAAATTGATAACAACTCAAGTCAATGGACATGTTACTATTCAAGATTCCTTTATTTTCTGGGTCGTAATATATTTATAAGCTTAACAGGAGGCAAAATTGGAACTATATACCCATAAAAAAAATAATAAATTTGGCGGGTAATTATACTCCCGAAGGTTAAATTTTGACCCCAAGGCAACCAGCCTTTAGGGCAAAAGTGTATTTAGATGTTCCTTCATATTATTGGCTTTGTTTGATGAGGTTCACATGGGGAAGTTGCCCCGTAAGCAATGATTGAAAATGTCTTTTTTTTTTAATTCTTTATTTTTCAGATCAATGATTGGATATGTTAGAAAAGCATGAATAAATTTTTATTTTCTTATTGAGAAGATAAAAAAGATGATTGAAAATGTGTTCTTGACACAAAGTGATTGTATCCAATAAGAAAATTTTGAATCATGTAAAAAATCAAAATGCTTAAAAAAAACTATGGCAATTTTCCAAATTAATGAAGTGGATGCATTTTAGTACGTGCATCTTAAACAAGGACTTGGTATGCAGAACGAATTGCCTATGTTCCTTAATTCACTCGATGTGCAAAAAACCTTAGTGCCCGAGGGATTTAAAACCACCGGAAAAGTTTATAACTAATTTTTGCTGATGTTGTAATCAGTAAGGGATATGTCACTAATTTTTCCCTTTCGTAGTCTAAAGAAATCGACATCATGGAGAAAAGTATTGAGATCATTTATAGTTTAAATTAGTAAGCGATAAATTATAGCAATGAAGTCCTTAATTAATTAGTAATAGCATTGTCAAAAATTTTTTTTGAGTTTTATAAATATAAATTCCACTAACAAATTGTGCATTAACCAAGACTCACACTTGTCATGATTTTGACTTATGTTTCAATGAGATAGTTGTTAATATCATGTCTCTGCCTTAAACTATAAGTACCAGCTGGTAATATCATCACCACAATGATTACAAACTATAGTATACTTTGAGATGTAAAGGGAATAAAAGAAAGACAAACATGAATTTAGCGTTAGACCAAACTACCTATGTATAATAGTATAATTTTAAGAAAAAGGCCCATTATTACTATTGACTCATAATATTAAAGGCAAAATATAAGGGAAAGAGTGTCGTAACATGCATAAATAGTAGAGCCAATAGAAGTGAAATGAATTGATTAATTGTATGGAACCGACTTTTGCCAATAGGATAGAAATCCTTACAAACATGTACGGCATGGTACGTTGGTAATTAACTTCCAAAGCTTCTCTCTAACTTGAGAGCTTCTCTCTCTAACTTTAGAGGTTCCCCTCCTCGGTGTGGGAGAGTGGGTGAGGTACAAACACATAGCACTTTTTCCTACAGCGTAATTTTCAGATCTAAAATCAAATCTTTAGTTCAACCTTTGCTTTCATGTTCCCTGTCCAGAAGCCACCTTTCTTCCGGCTTCAAAATGGGAGACAATGTCTGTAGTGGTTTGGAATCGGTTGGAGGAGTAAACGCTTTGGGCAAGATATGATCCATTGAGTCAGAGCATGTGATCGGAAGTTGGAGTGTCGTATTTGTGTCCCTTTCTTTAATGCTGTTATGTGGTCGGGAGTGGGATAGTGGTTTGTTGGTTTTTCTTTTTTCTTTCGTTTCTTCTTGTGCCTGTGCTTTTTCTGTCGAGTTCCTCTCTGTTTTTCTGGTTGGTTTTTAGTGTGTACGGATAACACAGCTTTGTCTGTCTTTGCAATTCTTCACAGGTCTGTCAGTGGGTCACTCATAGCTCAGAAATAGTGCTTGGTTTCTCAAGGAGCTCTCGTCACAGCAATGGCGGATGCTTTAGAAAGAGCCTTTCAAAATTTTGACTTGTCTGAAACAGAGTTAGGAGGTGTCGATCTGAGTGGTGAGGACCTGGAAGAAGGCGTCTCTGAGTGTCAAGGAAGCCTGGTAGGAAAGCTGATTGGTGAAAAAATTGCCAACTTTACGGGGTTAAAGAACTTTACAAATCATGCATGGGGATACCCCTCAAAGATGAAAGTGACTGAGTTAGGTCCTAACTTATTCCATTTCCATCTGGGAGATGAAGGGGAAAAGAAAAAGATCTTATCTGGAGGGCCTTGGGTCATGGACAACCAGTTGCTGATAGTGAAGGAGTGGGTAGAGGGGTATGATACAAACAGCAGCTTTTTCCAGCATTCCTTTCTTTGGATTCAACTATGGAACCTACCGGTGCACTGGTTGAGCAGAGCAGTGGGTTTGAAAATAGGAGGGATCTTTAAATCAGTGAGGGGAGTGATTCTCCCAGGAAGTGGTGGGAAAGAGGGTCGCCACATGAAGATTATGGCTGAGGTAGATATAACGAAACCACTGGTTAGAGGGACAAAGATCAACTGTAAGAACCAGGCAGTGTGGGTTGAGTTCAGGTATGAACGCTGCCCTGATTTCTGTTATAGGTGTGGTATCATTGGGCATAGTGATAGGACTTGTACTGTGGTAGGAAGGGTGGGGGGGAGAAGCGAGAGGAACAATATGGTGCCTGGATGAGAGCTGGAAATATAATGGTATCTCCCTTAAAGGGACGGCTGGAAGGAGTAAGTGAAATTGATGCAAGGAGGGTGGGGGCAGGGTCTCCTAGTAGTGAAGTTCAAACTGGAGTACAAATGGCTGGAGATACATTAACTCTTGGGGGAAAAAATGGTAGAGTCTTGGGGGGAAAGGAAAGGGGGGATAAGGAGAAAATGATGACGAGACAATATGAAGAGAGGTGGGATGAGATTCTAAAAGACAGCAGGCAGTATGGAAAGGCAAACCAACGGGTGGAAAGTTTGGCTGTGGTCTTAATGGAGGGAAATGGTGAAAAGGAGGGTAGGGTACAGGAAGGGAGTAAAGGAGGGAGCAGCGTAATCCCACCAGTAGATTATGAGGATATGGAAACGGACAGCTCAAAACAGGAATGTGAAAGTTTGCGGGTAGGGTCAATAAAGCAGGAGGAGACAAATGCAAGAATGCCAAGAAAGGAGGCTACTCCAGGGGAAGAAGATAACAAAGCTGAAAAAAGAAGCAGTTTTAAAAGAAGAGGGAGGCCGGCTAAAACATCCTTAAAGGCAGATACAAATGGACAAGTAACGCAGGTTTCGTGTGCTAAAAGGAAGGCTGATGGTATGTTTCAGGGAACACAACCGATAGAGGAGGATGATGATAATGTACCGAAGGTAAAGGTTATGAAACTGGATCTAATAAATGTTAGTACAATAGGGGAAATGGAGGCTAGCCCCGGAAAGCCTCCAAAGTGTAAATGAAGGTTGTGGTGTGGAATTGTCGAGGTGTAGGAGGCCCCTTGACAAGTCCCCAACTAAAGGAAGTGACTAACTTCCACTCTCCTAAGGTGGTGTTCCTTTGTGAAACTAAGAATCAGGAAGGGTTTATGGGCAAGGTTCAAAGGAAGATTCAGTATGACAATAGCTTTTTTGTGAATTCAATAGGTAAAGCAGGCGGTCTAGCATTATTCTGGAACAATGAGGTGATTTTAGACCAGATTGTAAGTACTGATTGGTGTATTAGTGCTAGAGTTGAGGACAAGGATACTAAAGGATACTGGGGGCTAGTGTGTGTTTATGCAAGCACAGATAGTAACATTAGAAAAGCACAATGGAAATATTTAGAGGACAGGATGAGGGACTGGGGGGATGGCTGGATCATTGTAGGAGATTTTAATGATTTGAGGTCTAGTGAGGAGAAGTGGGGAGGAAGGGATAGAGCTGAAAGATGTTTTAGGGAGTTCAACAGGTTTATCAAAGACAATAACCTGGTTGACTTAGGTTATCAAGGGGTCCCGTGGATTTGGTGCAATAGTTGGGAGGGGGATGGGGAAGTGAAAGAGAGGTTGGATAGATGTTTATGCAGCACCGAATGGCTGCAAAGATTTGAAAAGGCACAGTGTACTCATTTAGATACTGAAGCCTCTGATCATCTAATGCTTCTTGTGGATACAAACCCGGAAAACACAAGGAGAAAACGGAGATTTTACTTTGATCAACGATGGACGCTAAATCCAGAAGCAAAAAGGGTGATTCAAGGAGCATGGACAAAGGTGAAGTCAGGGTCCAGGATGTTTAGAGTGGCTACAAAAATAAAGGAATGTCGCATGGCTATTCTGGATTGGAGGAAAAAGGTGCAGGGAAACTCAAAGGTTAGAATTAAAGTGTTAAAGGAGAAATTGGCTGAAGTGAAAGCAAGAAAGGATGAAGGGAAAAGAGTACAAGTGGCTGAACTAAAAGCACAATTGAATAAAGCTTATGCAGAGGAAGAGATGTTTTGGAGTCAAAAATCCAGGAACAAGTGGCTCAAAGAAGGGGACAAGAATACAGCTTTTTTCCATTCTTCGGTCATGGCAAAGAGGAGGAGAAATAAGATCACTATATTGCAGAAAAAAGATGGGACATGGTGCAAGGAGGAACATGAGATTGAGGAGGAACTTTGTGAGTACTATAAAGACCTTTTTACCACTACTAACCCGGACTGCTTTGAGGACATTCTAGCTGAAATTCCAAGCACTATTTCGAGTCATATGAATGGACAACTGATACGACAAGTGGAGGAAAGTGAGATCAGGAAAGCTTTGTTCTCGATGCACCCTAATAAAGCACCAGGAACGGATGGTATGTCTCCTCTATTTTTTCAACACTATTGGGATATTATCAAGGATGATGTGGTAGCAGCTATTAAGAGTTTCTTTCATACTGGGCATTTGCTCAAAGCTGTGAATGATACTATTATTTCGTTGATTCCTAAAGTTGATACTCCTGAATCTGTGGTGCATTTTAGACCTATTAGCTTGTGCAATGTCCTGTATAAAATCATTTCTAAAATCATAGCTAATAGATTGAAAGGTGTCTTGCATCATTGTATTAGTCCCTCTCAATCCGCTTTTATCCCAGGCCGTCAAATTCTTGATAATGTAGTAGTTGCACATGAAATCCTGCATTTTTTGAAAAATAGGAGAAAGGGAAGGGTAGGATTTATGGCTCTTAAACTGGACATGTCCAAAGCTTACGATAGAGTCGAATGGAAATATGTGGGGAGAGTTATGATGAAAATGGGGTTTTGTCCAATTTTTGTTAAATGGATCATGTCTTGCCTATCTACTGTGACTTACTCCTTCAACTTAAATGGGCAAAAGGTAGGCTGTGTTCAACCGAGTAGAGGGCTTAGACAAGGAGACCCCCTATCCCCGTACTTGTTTATTATATGCGCTGAAGGTCTTTCATGTTTGATCCATAAAGCTATGATGAACAAGGAAATTACAGGGATCAAAATATGCAAGGACAGTCCGATGGTTTCTCACCTATTTTTTGCAGATGATTCTCTACTATGCTGCCAAGCAACCAAGCAGGAGGCGAGGAAGGTCAAAAGCATATTGGAAAGATATGGTCAAGCATCCGGACAGGTGGTGAATTTTGAAAAGTCAGCTATCTTCTATAGCAAAAATACCACTGATCAAAGGAAGAATGGAGTGAGGGAGGTATTAGATAACATTAAAGAGGCAAGGAATGGAACCTACCTAGGACTCCCAATGGCAATTGGAAGATCAAAGACACAGGTCTTTGCATTTGTCCAGAACAAAATTAGTAACAAGTTGCAAGGTTGGAAACAAAAACTGTTGAGCCAAGGAGGGAAAGAAATTCTGGTCAAATCAGTGATTATGGCTATGCCAACATATGTGATGGCTTGCTTTAGACTTCCAAGGGGTTTGTGTAGACAAATCACAGGTAAAATAGCGAGTTTCTGGTGGGGGAAGGGAGAAAAGGGTACCTGTGTACATTGGGCAAGCTGGAAGAAGCTCTTAGAAGTTAAGGGAAGAGGAGGTTTAGGCTTTAGAGATTTGGAGGCCTTCAACACAGCATTACTGGCAAAACAAATTTGGAGATTCTTAATGGCTCCAAATTTGTTAGTAAGTAAGGTAATGAAGGCGAAGTATATGAGTGATGAAAAATGGATGGACAAGAAGCCAGTCTCTTCAGCCTCATGGTGTTGGAAGAGTATTCATAGTGCAGCCTCCTTTCTGTATGATGGTCTTTGGAAAAGAATTGGAGATGGCAAGTCAGTCAACATGTGGCGGGACAGATGGATAGTTGGTTCAGATACCGGCTTTGCATCAACCACACAACCTGTGGGATGCAAGTTGGAATGGGTAAGTGAGCTGATAGAGGAAGGGAAATGGAAAAATGATTTGCTTCTCAAGTGGTTTTGTGCAAAAGATGCAGAGCACATAAAGGGAATTCCAACAAGTATAGGAAGAAGAAAGGATAGGTTGGTATGGGGGCATTCCAAAGCTGGAATTTATAGCGTGAAATCTGGTTATGCTTTAGCAAGGCAACGGGAAGGAAAAGCAGGTACAAGGACAGGCCAAGAGGCAGAAACAAGTTGGGAGATACGAAAACGAAATGTGTGGAAGCAGCTATGGCATTTGAAGGTGAAGGCCAAACTAAAACACTTCATGTGGAAGTGCTTACAAAATTGTCTGCCAGTCAATGAACAGATGTCGAAAAGGCTACATAGAGGGGAAGGCAGATGTGGTTGCTGTGGTGAAGATATGGAAACTATTGAGCATTTGTTTTTCTTCTGTGAAAAGGCTGTGGAAACGTGGAAGCTAGCACCGGTCAGGTGGGATGGATTACTGGGTATGCAATATAACTTTTGGTTATGGTGGGAACAAGTCACACAATCGCTGGCACTGAACCAAGGTCAGGAGAGAGTTAGTCTTACTATCAATATCCTTTGGCAAATTTGGAAAGCCAGGAACAAAAAATTTTTTGAACAAGCCAACCAGGATCCAGTAAAAATAGTAAGGAAAGCACAGGAGGAATGGCTTGAGTTTGAACAGGTAGGGAGTACAGACCAGAAGGAGATCGCAGGGAAGCTGAATGATGCCTTACCTACCAGGAGAGTGCGGCCAAGGAAGGAAGAGATAAGGCTGTATACCGATGCAGCGATATCAGCTAAACGAGTCAGGACCGGACAAGGGATTATAGCAAGAAATTGGAAAGGACAGCTTTTGAAAGCAAAAGGAATTGTCACACAGGGAAAGGGATCGGCAAGTGAAGTGGAAGCTCGGGCTGTGAGAAATGCTCTGCTGATGGCTACCCAAGCAGGTTGGACACAAATTATAGTCCATACAGACTGCAAATCAGTGGTAGAGCAGATTACTAAACGCAAGGAGTATGACTACACGACTGCAACTATCTTAGAAGATGTGCAGGAACTTAGTCTAGCTTTTGAAAAATGTTCTTTTGTGTTTATACCTAGAACTGAAAATCACATCAGCCATCAATTAGCACAATATGCTGTGAAGCTTGTACATGATATTGAATGGGAAACTAATTTCCCAATATGGCTGACTGATTTAGCTAGGACAGAGTTGAGGGTAGTATCCCCTTTTTGTAACTAATCCTTGTAAGGTCAAGTGTTAATATCTATAACATGATACCGTTTGTTGGAAAAAAAAAATGTACGGCATGGTACGTAAAACAATACGTACCTCACAAACAGGGAATTAATTGAGTCGCAAAATTCAATTTACAAATTAAAGTGGAAACATAGAAAAACTTGAAAACATCCTTGCATTGGGCTTTTATTCTTATTCTTCAACATCTTCATGAAGCTCTCAAACACAGATTCTCTTTCCCTTTTCCTGCAAAAATTTCAGTGGGTTATGGGTATTGTGCATTTTCAAGTAGATGAGCATGTTAAACAATTCATTAATCTATTTAATACACAAGTTTTTGGAAGCAGAGGGAATACTAATGCTGTTCTTGGTTCTTAAGAAAACTTTCTACCATTCATTTTCATGGATCTAGGTGTACGTATTTGGCATGATACACATGGCAGTTTGTCTTGATAGAGATAAGGTTTATCATGCGAAAGTTAATTTATTGGTTAAGCGTTATTACCTCAAAAACTTGGATACAATTGCTTAGTAGTGACGAGGAGGAGGAGGAGAATTGTAGTAGTAATGGTAGGGTGGAGGTGGAGACTTGTAGATTGGTGGTGGTGGGGAACTGTAAACTGGAGGAGGTGGAGACTTGTAAGCAGGTGGTGGTGATGACTTGTACACTGGAGGAGGTAGTGGAGGAGACTTGTATTTATAAATTGGTGGTGGTGGAGATTTGTCAACTGGAGGAGGTGGTGGAGGTGATTTGTATACTGGAGGAGGTGGTGGTGGTGACTTATATACTGGGGGAGGCGGTGGGGGAGACTTATAAATTGGTGGTGGTGGGGGTGAATGCACTGGAGGTGGTGGTGAGGAATAATCGTAAGGTGGTGGTGGAGACTTGTAAACTGGAGGAGGTGACTTGTAAATTGGTGGTGGAGGTGCATGCACAGGAGGTGGTGGTGAGGAATAATGGTAAGGTGGTGGCGGAGACTTGTAAACTGGTGGTGGTGGGGGTGAATGCACTGGAGGTGGTGGTGAGGAATAATGGTAAGGTGGTGGAGGTGACTTGTAAACTGGAGGAGGTGGTGGAGGTGACTTGTAAACTGGTGGTGGTCGCGAAACTTCTTTCTTTTCTCTAATTTTGGATTTTTTTTCTGTTATGGTTGCTTCATACTTGTCTAGTCACGGGCATTGTATTAACCATTGTAATTAAGTAAGAAGGGTTTCATAGTTTAAGGACTATTATGTCACAAATTACAGCTTAGAAATCGAGTTACAGTTGAAGGATACAACATGGCATGAACCCGAAGGAAACTAGAATTCCTCAGTATTTCTGACGTCAATTTGCCTGTCGGTGAATAGTTTTCTAGGGTAAAGATCATGTCCACACCTTTTGGTGGTGATTAAAGGTGCATTTGTAAAGAAATGAGTTGGGAGATTATATTATGCCAAGTGTATATTGACCGATGCAAATTTCCATAATAGAGACCTTGAGATTGAAAGTATTAATTGCATCGCGGTGTTTATGCTACTTCTCTGACTAATTTGTACGAATGATTTTAACATATTATTTTAAAGATTACTAACTTTAACATACTTCTTTGACTACTATTCATACCAATAAATTAATTTAACATGTTCTTTAAAAGATTATTAACTTGTGACCTGATAGCATGTAAAGATTATTAACTTTTTTATCCCTAATTTGTTAGGTGGGAATAAAAATGATAATGACTCTGCACTTGCTCAGAAAAGTGATATGTATTCATATTTGGCAGAGAATATATAGTGTTTAGCAGACACTATATGCCGTATTCGCAAGTTGGAAAATGGAAACGAAAAGATTAGTCAATTCGGATTTATAGAATGTGTTAACAGCTGGATGGATGAAATCTACGCCGAAAAAAGGGAATTTTATTTGATAATTGAAAATATTAATTTTCCATGCACCACTTGGAGTAAAGAAATCTACAAAGTATTTTCGTTAGGAAGTCTCTTTATAGAGAAAAGCATCTTAGCAATGAATAGAACAAAAGGGTTTCATGACTCCCCATTTTCTGAGTACTTTTATTACCATTTGTTCTCATGGAATCGAAGTAGCCCAAACCGATCGATGACAGCTCAAGTCAATGGATATATTAATACTATTAAAGGCACTTTTATTATCTTAATAATTATATAAGCTTGACAGAGGGGGCAAAACTGGAGCTATATACCCAAAAAAGAAAAAGAAAAGGCAACAAAAAAGTTGCCTGGGTAACTAAGGTAAAATTTTAATTCTAGAGCAACCAGTTTTCACTCAAGGGTTAATTTGCCCTGTAAGCTATTAAATGATTGAAGATGTCTTTTTGCTTTTTTTTTTCCCCTGATCAATGGTTGCATATGTTGGAAAATAACTGGTTTTTTCTTTAGCTTGACCATAATTCTTTTAGCTAAAGTTCTCCATTTAAATGTTGTCAAATTAGGTTTACAGGAGTTGATCAGTCATTTTATGACAGTAGGGTCTTGAATTATTTTATGAGGGTGAATGCACTAGAGGTGGTAAGAATATTTATGATGTTAAAGTTTTTTTTTGTAATATTTTGGTTGCAAATTTTTTGATTATTTGTTATTGATCATGTTTGACAATGGGTTTGTAATTGAAAAGAACAATTGGGATCTTACATTAAGTGAAACATATAGAATGATATACTATGTTTTATGGCATATGCAATTTGATCTTTAATGAAAAGCAGCAAATTTTAGTATTTTTCTTTAATGTGTGGGTTGCTATTAAATTAATTAAATAATATAGCAAGATGGGGGGCAATGATAAAATTATATTATTTTCTCTCTCATAATATCATTTTTTAATTATTAATTGGACTTAAATGTTACAAGATAATTAATCTCAATGAAGATTAGTGTAATTTTTAAAATTTGAAGAGAGGCCAGTAAAATAGTCAAAAACTTTTATCATGGGGAAAATATTGGGTTCAGTTGTAGTCGAAACTAGTTAGGGATAAATAATGATGATAGCGTCATTAATAATTTATCAATGGCGCAGTCAGAATTTGAGTTTTGTAACTATAGATTCCACGAATAAATAGTTGCATCAAATCAAGATTTACACTTTTCGCAATGTTAGTTTCCTTGAGTTTCAATGAGATATTCATTAGTATCATGCTTCCGTCTTAAACAGTGATCACAAACTATTGCATCCTTTTGAGTTGAAAAGGGGAGCAGGTGAAAAAGAAAAGTAAAACATACAATTAGCATTAGACCAGATTGCCTAAGTGTTTGAATATTTTTGTTAAAAATATGATTAAGAATATTAAAGACAAAATATAAGAGAAACAGAGAAAAGTGTCGTAACATAAATAGTATTCATTTATCACATGGAACCTGCGGTTTGCCGGCAGGATAGAAAACCTTACAAACATGACATGTACTGCATGGTACGTAAAACGATACAAATCCCATAAACAAAGGAACTTGGGCGCTACAACCAATTTAGATAAAGAAATGGTAACGTAGAAAAACTTGAAATCATCATCTTCACATTGGGCTTTTATTCTTATGCTTCTACATCTTCAAGAAGGTCTCAAACATGGTTTCCTTCTCCTTTGCCTGCAAATATTCAGCTGGCTATCAGCTATATGCATTTCTCAGTTGATAAGCTAGTTAAAAAAATACTCTTTAATCTATATACTGTACAAGTTCTTGATAACAGAGGGAAAAAATGATGCCTTTCTTTGGTAACATAAAAAAAATTTTCTAGCAGTCATTTTGGTGGATGAAGTGAAGGCACTTAGCATGATAGACATGACAGTTTGTGTTGATAGAGATATGCTTTATCATGCAGAAGTGGGTATATTGAACAAGTGTTATTACCTCAGAAGCAATTGCTTAGTAGTGGTGAGGAGGTGGTGGAGACTTGTATTTGTAAACTGGGGGAGGAGGTGGTGGAGACTTGTAGTGGTAAACTGGTGGTGGTGGTGGAGGAGATTTATACTTGTAAACTGGTGGAGGAGGTGGTGGTGACTTGTACTTATAAACTGGTGGTGGTGGAGACTCGTATTTGTAAACTGGGTGAGGAGGTGGTGGTGACTTGTAGTGGTAAACTGGGTGTGGTACCGGATGAGGAGGTGGTGGTGGTGACTTGTAGTGGTAAACTGGGTGTGGCACCGGATGAGGAGGTGGTGGTGGTGACTTATACTTGTAAACTGGGTGTGGTGGTGGCGGAGGAGACTTATACTTGTATACCGGATGAGGAGGTGGTGGTGGTGACTTATACTTGTAAACTGTGGGTACCGGATGAGGAGGTGGTGGAGGTGACTTATACTTGTAAACTGGGTGTGGTACCGGATGAGGAGGTGGTGGTGGTGACTTGTACTTGTAAACTGGGTGTGGTGGTGGCGGAGGAGACTTATACTTGTATACCGGATGAGGAGGTGGTGGTGGTGACTTATACTTGTAAACTGGGTGTGGTGGTGGGGGTGGTGGAGATTTGTACTTGTAAACAGGATGAGGTGGAGGTATATGCACTGGTGGTGGTGGTGAGGGATAGTGGTAAGGAGGAGGAGGAGATGAATACTTGTAGTGATCATCAGCTGCAGTTTGTGAGGGCAAGCCAAGAGCAACAAACACCACTAAAACAGTGGCAAGAAGAGGAGTCAGCCCAGACCCCATTGCTTTTGCTTTGCTTCCCATCTTAACTACAAATTCTTGTTTTAGGCTGATATGCTTCTAGGCAGCCTCTATTCCCCTTTTTATAGCACTCAGTGCCTTCATTTTTAACTCCCAAGGCTCGGAGGATGCAAGCATGGTAAGTCTTTTTACAGCTCTCAACAACTTTAGAAAAGTAAAAAATCTTTTGCAGGTTGGAATGGGTTGTCCTCAAACTGTGCTTTGACAGATTTGACAATCGTGAATATTCATTATTCAATTGTGTTGGGTGGAGGGTTATGCTCGAAAGTTTTGAATCTTAAGCTATATAATAACAAGTGTTCGTACTTTTATGCAACTTAGCCATGCATTGACTTCGAAATATTATTGTGTGAATGCGATTGATTTCGCAATATTGTACTATCTATGAAAAGAAGACCGGATGCAGCCGACTCCCCCCTCTACCTCTATTACCAATCCTATCAAGAAGGATTGAATCACATATGTTATAAAAAATAGTATATCACTCTATATATTTTACTTAATGTAAGTTTCAAATTGTTCTTTTCAATTATAAACCCATCATCAAACATAATTAATAACAAATAATCAAAAAAATCTGTATTCAAAAAGAGTGAAGTTTAACAGCATAAAAATTTCAGTAACTAACTTTAATATGTTGATAAGAATATTTATGATGTTAAAGTTTATTTTTTTTGTAATATTTTGGTTGCAAATTTTTTGGTTATTTGTTGTTGATTCTCTAACAATGGGTATGTAATTGAAAAGAGTAATTTGGATATTATATTAAGTGAAAAATATAAATAATATACTATTATTTGATGTTATAAGCGATTTGATCTTTAATGATAAACAACAAATTTTAATATTTTTCTTTAATGTGTGGGTTGCTATTAAATTAATTAAATAATGTAGTAAGATGGGGGGCAATGATAAAATCATATTATTTTCTCTCTCATAATATCATTTTTTAAATTATTGATTGAATTTAAATGTTACAAGATAATTAACTTCAAGGAAGATTAGTGTAATTTTTAAAATCTGAAGGGAAACCAGTAGAATAGTCAAAATCTTCAGGGGAGGTTTCTGAAATTATCTCCACCAAATTTGCTTTTCATCTCTTTTTTTTTTTCCCGTGTTAAACTGATTGAAAGCAGTGTATCACACTAAGAGAGCTTCTATGCATAGTTGTCAAAATCGCGATCCGGATCGTAGGATCATACGATCCTACGATCCGGATAACCAAAATCGATCCGGATCGTATGCAGAGTCGCAAATCATATTAATCTTTGTAGGATCGCATAGAATCGTAGCAGGATCGGTAGGATCGTGTAGGATCGTAGGATCGGTAGGATCGTACGATCCTACAATTTTTTTGTAAATTTGTGAAATACGAAGCTCCATTTTGCAAGTAAATGAAAATATTTGTGGTATATTTGTAATTTATTAAAGAATTGCAACCTTTAATTGCAATTGAGAGCTTTTGGTAGGATCTTACGATTTTACAATCCGATCCTGTGAAACTAAAATCGATCCTATGTAGGATTCCGATTTTACAAATCTTGCTTCTATGGAAGCACGATGCAACCAATCTAGAGCTCAACAATCAACCCAGATTGGGAATTTTGTTGTTCTTTCTTTTTTCTTTTTAATTTCAACAACAATACTTAATACCAATTAAAGAATGCTTCGGATTTCATATTTTTACGTATGTTTTGCAAACCACAGAAGGAAAGAAAAGAAAAAAAGGAGGGAAAAACCCAATTCTCCACAGTATCGATTCCAAAAGGGGTGAAAAGGAAAGAGCGCAATCTTTACTCCATGTAATCTGCAATGAACTGGACCATACAATTAAACGTTGAATGCACTATTCAAAAGCCATGGACACGTATAGTTTGTCGGTGGGTTTCAATGAAAATTAGACTCTTCTTTTTTTTTTTTTTCCAATTACTCAATTATTTTTTCTAATATTAATTTAATCTTGTGTTGGTTATGGGTAGACGTCCACGGCTTTCATTGTTAGTCAATAATAAAATGTCCAAAATGACAGATTTGCAGTGCCTTTCAAATGCTTTAAAAAATGCACAATAAAGGGAAAAGCTTGAACTAAGGCTTTTTTTTTTTGGTTAAAAAGTCATCCCAACGTTAGTGATGTAATTTAATTAAAACATTACAGCTAGAGCTATATTAGTCATCCAATTAGCAAGTTGTGATTGGTCATTGAACAGCTTATAGGACTATTTCTCCTATAAGTTGCTCAATGACCACCACAATGCTTGCCAGTCTATTACTAGGGATGACAACGGGACGGGGGATGGCGGGGTTGGGGCGGGGGACCCCTCCCCCATCCCCCGCCCCCGCCCCGTCCTCCGCCTCCCACTCCCCTCGCCCCGCCCCGCTTTCCCCGCGGGTGCCCCCACGGGATTAATAAAATTTTTCTCGTTGAGTTAATAAAATTTTATTATAATTAAATTTTAATAAATAATCAAGTACTAAAATATCAACACATCATCAAGTTATTATTCATTTTAATTTTACAATTGAAACTTATAAAAACAATCAAACAAAAATTATTTGAATACAATCCAACATGATGAAATAAATACAACTAAAATAGTTAAGTTTTCACTTTTGGTACAAATACAATGACAGGGTCGTCAGCCTGTGCAATAATAAAATTAAACTTAATTGCCAGTTAAAATGACCAAAACCCAATTCCAAGTACTGGAGCAGGGATTTTAGGTGTGCAATGGGTTACTTGATTCACCCTGTTCCCGAAGAGTTTGCTTGATCCGATATACCCGAGTGGAATGGTTATTTCTTTTCACAAATAATTATGAATTCGTGGACAGGGCAAGTAGGGTCGTATCCACAGGGACTGGGTATATTTGTTTCTTAAGAAATCCAAAGTAACACAGGGGGGTGATTTCGTAGGAATGATAACAAGCAAATAAATTCAAATAAGAAAGTAAAAATAAATAACTAATTAGGAATTAAACCACAATTCACTAAACTTAGAATAACAATAATTAAAGGCCTAACTCAATTAAAGCAAGGAAACAATTAAAAATAAAATAAAGTAGGCAACTAAAAATCAAATGGCAATTCACCAAAATCAAGGTAATATTAACTAAAGATCTAGCCAAGAAGTAACTTCAGCAATAGTTCATCTAATTGATCATTGATGCAAGGCAATCCCAATTATTTACTGATAAATATGTTATAACTGCCAAACAAGCGATGGCAGTCAACCCCTCCTTACTGTGTCGGTGATCAAGGTACGCCCGTTAATCACTACTCTAATTAAGAAATAATTCTAGGTACGCCCGTAGAATTTAATTCCCCAATTGCCTTACATATTAGAGGAGCCCTATTCTAACCAAATAACACACTACCAGGGTTATTTTAGATTAGCCCGCATATCCCCCCTGGCACGAATCTAATCGTGCCAGTTGTCACTATTTCAGGACAATTAAACAATTACGGATTTAAATGCCCTAATTGACAATAGGCTATCAGATCAATTAATTATCTGGATCCAAGACAATCAATTAATTAAATAACCATAAGCATAGCAATCAAGAAATGTGCGGATACCAATAAATAAAAGGAAAAGATTAAATTAAAACGATCTCACAATTTTTAGGCGAACCAGAGTCTTCGTTGTTCCTTGACTAGAGTGGTGAAATTAGTTCATGTTCGATGAACAAAGCCCATATAAAATTGAAGAGAAACCAGCGGCCATGTCCATTGAAATTTGGTAGAATCCAACTCGTCTCAATATATTGAATGAATAGAAACACTACAAAAGTTTATAGTTTTCACTTCGTCTGGCGCACAAAGGAAAAGAGGCTACTCAGAATTTCTAAGGAAGAAAAGATCAAAAGCCACGAATGGCTAAGTGCTGACATTCGTAAGTAGCAATCCACTACTACAAGCTAAAGAAGAAAAGTCAAAGATGGAGGAATAAGTTAAAAGCCATCTGCCATGCGTAATATCAGCCAAAAGGAAATCTTTAACAAAAGTCTCCCAGGGAAAATCAGATGCTAAGCTAAAAACTAAAAAAACTCCTTTTCCCCCCTGCAATTGCTTTTACGTCTGCCCTCTTCCCTGCTACTGTGCGGCCGCTTCCAATCCATGTTAGACCCATTTTGTCTGTTTCCCTTTTCTCCCAAATTACCAAGATGGGCACAAGTTCTCCTTTCCAAAAATGCCCTTGGGGCAAGCTCTATCATCTGGACTTTTTTCTGCCAAATTAGCACCTGTTATCAAATTTCCGTTCTACTCCCTGAAATAAATACAAAGTACTAAAAGTGAGCAGAATCCAGCAATTAATCCACATCAGGTCAGGTGATAGGAGAAATTAATAATAAAATAAATAGTAAAATTACACCCTATCAATTCCCCCTACACCTAAACCATGCTTGTCCTCAAGCATAAGAATAGTAAACGAACACCAAAATTCGATGATGGCCATTGTCCAATCTCCTATATTGCCAAGATCTTCAAGAGAAAAACATATATCGAGCATTGGTGATTAAAATCCAAGAAGCCTCCCCCCCGGTTAGCCCCTAAACTGCAAATTCCTTCAATTTCCAGGTTAACTACTCTAAGAAAAGGGAATGGCGCACAACATTTATTAGCTAATGGTCCAAATATTCACACAAGTCTCCATATTAAGTCCATAAACCGGCAAGCCTTCCTATTATTTATTCTCTCTTTTTTCGTTCTTTTTTTTTTTTGTTTTTCAAAGCAATAATAATTAACACAAAAAGACTTAGTCGTTAGCCGTCGGGGCCTTTTGACGCGAACTCCAACATTTTTAGATGAAGGAGCCCGGTTACTCAGCTCCTACTGCTATACGACCACGTACTCATATAAAGTACCACCTTTTGACGCGAGAATCGACACTTTTAGGTGCCGATCCTCGGTTACTCAGTAGTAACTCATAGCGGAGTACAGTCCAGATTATTCACAGCCAAACAAAGCCAAAAACACATAATAACAACACTAAGAACCAAAAATAGGAACAGCTCGCCTCATTATTGCCAAACATAGAGAACTGGAGTCAATATTGGACCAGTTCACATTAAAATGCCAACAGTCATTCCCTATGCCTAGAGAAATTAACACAGAAATCAAAAGAGCCAAGCAATCCGATATTCACCAGGGAGATATTCTGGATCCAACCACATTAACCCGATACATTTTTATTTAAAAAAAACTTGGCAAAAGTAGAGTTAGAGTCAATAAACCAACATTTTTTTCTCTTTTTTTTTGTTTTCTTTTTCTTTTCACATGGGGAATAAGCACTAAGAAAAGAAAGAAAATACGCAACTAGAAATAAAACTAAAACTACTAAAAAACTAAAAACTAACAACTACTAAAAACTAGAAAGACTATAGACCCCCCCACACCTATAGGACACATTGTCCTCAATGTGTCAAAAAACAACAAAAGTGAGGGAGAAAGTAACCAAACTTCCCTGAAACCGGGTCATAGTGGAGGGTGAGGTGGGATTGGGGGCGGGAAACCCGAGTGCTGCAGGAATGCCGCCAGATTCTGTGATATAGCCGCCACGTTGCTCTCGATGCTAATCATCCGGGCGTCCAAATTCTGAATCTGCGTCCTGATTTGGTGCCAATCTTCAGCCCCTGCTGGTGGAGGGAGCTGAGCGGATGTCGACGGGCCAGGATCACCGCCAACTGGGGCCGAATGGGTGGAGGAAGAGCGAGGCGGGGCGCGGGGCGGTCCCGGGGGCACAAATCGGTAGTGGCCATCGACAAGCTCCAGAACCCCCATCTTCTCTAGCCGGTCAGCAGTGAGATACTCCATGTCGCAGGCCAAGTGCAAATCGTGATCCTGTAGATTCAGAACGCCTAGCTGGACCGCCAAGTACGTGATATACGACCCAAGAATCAACGGCTTGTTCTTCTTTGCCATGACGGTCTTGAACTGTGCCGCCAACCAACAACCCAAATTGACCTTGAACCCATTCTTCATACACCAAAGGAAGAAGAGCTCCGGCCGAGAGATAATACCGAAGCTGTTCTTTCTGCCCGAGTAGCTATATGCTAAAAGCCGCTGAACATACCGAGCACTCGGGTCCTCTAGAAAGGAGCTCCGAGACCGAGAGGGATCGTAACGCTGCATGTCCACAGACATGTCCTCCCACACCTCACGGTAGGCGGTAAGGAAAGGTTCCACAAAATCGCAGGCACTCTCACCGTATTCCCTAGTCTCTGCATACTCCCGAGTGATGAAACCGAAAGCCAGATTGAACTGGGTGATAGAGAAATTGAATTCCTGGCCCATGAGACGGAAGTGAATGATATCGGGAGTCGCAACAGTATACCTAGTCGGTAATTCAAACTTAAAAGTGGTGTAAAACTCTCTAGTCAACTCGACAAAGGCTGGCTGGAAAATATCCAGATAGGGGCGCCATCCAATGGCGGTGTACATGCGCTCAACCTCCCCTTGGATCCCCAGAAAAACCATAGTAATGTGGTCCGCGCATTTGCACGGAATGATACGCCGCTCACAAGCTTGAGCATAGCGTCGCTGATCGGCGGCTCTAGTGAATTCCAAATGCCCTCCCAAGTGAGTGGCGGAAGCCACGTGGGCACCTCTACCCCTACCTAACCAGGTTCGGACACCGGGAGCAGTAGGTTGATTTATAGGGGTATTGACTAGAGTAGAGGCTTGGGGTTGGGATTGCGAGGTTCTAGGGGTCCTAGACCTAGAGGAGGATTTTGGTCTCACCATGTCCTCAAACCAGTGGATACAAATATCCAGAGGTATAACCACCCTATCAATTAAAAAAAAACTGCTGTGCAACTGGTCAATTAGAAGCAAAACACAGTTACAAGTCCGTGGCAGTCAACCAAATACCCAACCAAATATAGTTGACAAAGTTAAGGGAGAAGAAACCAATAATAGCGCCTAAAAACGCACAGATGGCTCCAGTTGGCCGGTTAATGCCCCAAATCAAGATCAACAAATGCAATGACGACAACTTAGGAATTCGACCATAATAATGTAGCCAACCAACTAGAGGTAACAAATTCAATTGAAAATATTCCCACCAGTACCACTGGGGGCAGAACGTAGGCCAAATTCAATGAAACCTCAATCTCAACATGCAATATCCAAAATACTTCAATCGCAATTTAATAGACACCCCAGCGAGAGTAACAATGGAAAACAGCGGTTAGAATGTACCCAATAAACCTCCCAATGTAACACACAAATGCAGTATTTCAGCTCACCCAAAATCCCAACAAATGGCTCCAGTTGGCCAATTAATTGCACAGTTGAACCCAACCCAAAAGAAGTAGCAATTCCCAGCAAAAATAATGCAACCAGTATCACAGGCGGAAGTCACACAATTGAGAAAATAACCTCCAATTACCTCCACCGTGGATGCTAACCAAACGGAAGGGGACAGTAGCGGGTGGCGTGAGGTGCGCAAGGGAGACACGAGCAGCGGCGGCGGACAGACTGGAGTGGAGGCCGCGTGGGTTAGCGATGGGGGTAGCGTCCGTGGGTGGTTGGTGCGCGCGGCGGACTAGACCAGACGGGCTGGAGCTGCGAGGGCTGCGACGGCGCGCAGCGGGTGCGCTGTGAAGTGGATTGCTGCTGAGAGGGAAAGAGCTCGCGTGAGGGAGGTGGTGGAAAACAGCGGCGGTCACGCGGGCAAGTGGCTCGGCGGCAGTCTCTGTCCCGTTTCCAATGGGCTTGTGGCCGCGTGAGCAGGGAGCTGCGTGGGGAGGCTGTGGCGGCGGTGGAGCTTCGGGCGCAGAGCAGCTGGGTTGCGCGCGAGGCAGAGCTCAGGTGGAGGTGGCGGAGGCTGCGGGTTTCGGCGATGGTCCAGATCTGGCGCTGGGGTCGCAGGTGGCTCGCAGCGTCGGCGTGCGTGTGGAGGTGGAGCAGCGATGGGGCGCACGGGCGACGGACAGGGGAGAAGAAACAGGGGAGAAGAGAGAGGGAAAAGAGAAAGAAGAAAGAAAGAAAGAAGGAAGAAAGAAGAAAAAGAAAAAAAAAAGAAAGAAATTGTTTCTTTTTTCTCTTCTTTAGGCTCTATTTAAGCCACGGTGAAATTTTTTTTCTTCTTTTTTTTTTTTACGGAAGTTAATTTCAAAATTTTAAATTATTATTATTATTATTTTTTCTTTAAATTTTTGAAACCCGTACCTTTCCTGCGAACGTGACGCGGGCACGTCAAGAGGGCAAGAGAGCTTTCAGACGATTCTGATCGTGAGCTTCCTGCACGTCATCACGCGGGTGCGTCAAAAGGGCAAGAGAGCTTTCAGACGATTCTGATCGTGAGCTTCCTGCATGTCATCACGCGGGCGCGTCAAGACTGAAGGTCACCTACAATTCAGCAAAAACGAAAACTGAAACCCAAAATCAGTCGAATTCAAGGAAAACATATTTAAACTATCACACGAAATCAAACAAATAATTAAAAGGGACAATTGGGTTGCCTCCCAATGAGCGCCTGTCTTTAATGTCTTTGGCTAGACATAGTAAAATGTCACTGATTAGGACACGGTGGCGCGTCTAGACTTATTGTCTCCACCTTTTCACCTGAAAATCCTTCGTAGTAATGCTTGAGACGGTGTCCATTCACCACAAATTTGTTGTCTGTTTTAGCGCTCCGGATTTCAACTGCACCATATGGAAAAACATGAGTAACAAGAAAAGGTCCAATCCAACGGGAACGTAGTTTACCTGGGAATAGCTTGAGCCTGGATTGGTATAGTAGGACCTTCTGACCAACTTCAAAGGATTTTCTTGAAATTTGTTGATCATGAAATATCCGGCTTCTCTCCTTATAAATTAGTGCATTTTCGTAAGCCTCGTTCCGGATCTCTTCTAATTCTTGCAAATCCAACTTTCGTTGGGCACCGGCTTCCTCTAAATTCATGTTGCATTACTTTATCGCCCAAAAAGCTTTGTGCTCAAACTCCACTGGAAGGTGACACGGCTTCCCAAATACCAACCTGTACGGTGACATCCCTATAGGAGTCTTGTACGCCGTCCGATAGGCCCAAAGTGCGTCCTCCAGCCTTTGACTCGAGTCTTTCCTATCGGGGCGCACCATTTTCTCCAAGATAGACTTGATCTCTCGATTCGACACCTCCGCTTGACCATTGGTCTGAGGGTGGTACGACGTTGAGACCCATTGGAGTACACCATACTTGCGAAACAACGCAGCTATGATTTTGTTGCAAAAGTGCGTTCCCCTATCACTGACAATAGCACTAGGCATTCCAAATCGCACAAAAATATTAGACCTGACAAAATTTGCAACTACTTTCGAGTCATTAGTTCGAGTGGCCTTAGCCTCCACCCATTTAGACACATAATCAACTGCCAGCAAAATATATAAAAAACCAAATGAAGTAGGAAAAGACCCCATGAAATCTATACCCCAGACATCAAAAATTTCAATAAAAATCAACGGGACTTGGGGCATTTGATCTCTACGGGGTATATTACCTACCCTTTGACAGCGATCACATGACTTACAAAACACATAGGCATCCTTAAACAATGAAGGCCAATAAAATCCACTTTCTAAAACCTTATGAGCAGTTCTCTTGGGTCCAAATGACCTCCACAGGCAAAAGTATGACAAAAAGCTAAAATCGATTGAAATTCCATTTCACTTACACATCTCCGCATCACTTGATCTGCACACCTCTTCCATAGGTACGGGTCGTCCCAAATAAAATACTTGGCGTCGCTCTTCAATTTATCCCTCTTCGATTTTGGTCAACCTGCAGGAAAATTACCAGTTACCAAATAATTGACCAGATCGGCATACAAAGGCAACTGAGAATTTAAAGAAAATAAGTGCTCTTCAGGGAACGCATCCCTCAATGGTTCATTATCCTCTCCAACGGGTATACGACTCAGATGGTCAGCTACTAAATTCTCTGAGCCCCTTTTATCCCGTATCTCCAGGTCAAATTCCTGCAGTAGCAATATCCACCTAATGAGCCTCAGTTTGGCATCTTTCTTGGTCATTAGGTACCTTAATGCTGCATGGTCAGAAAATACAATTACTTTAGCACCTAGCAAATATGACCTGAATTTTTCTAAAGCAAAAATAACTGCAAGAAGCTTCTTTTCAGTAGTGGAGTAATTCAATTGGGCTCCATTCAATGCTCGGGATGCATAGTAGATGACGTGAGCTGCCTTCCCTACTCTTTGCCCCAATACAGCCCCTACGGCATGATCACTGGCATCGCACATGATCTCAAATGGTAGACTCCAATCAGGGGGCTGGATAATTGGGGGTGAGGTCAACAATTCTTTCAACTTGTTGAAGGCTTCCTCACACTTATCATCGAATTCGAAGGTCACATCCTTTTGTAGGAGTTGGAATAACGGGGCTCCAATTTTTGAAAAATCCTTGATGAACATTCGATAAAAACCTGCATGTCCAAGAAAAGAACGCACCTTCCGCACACTCGCGAGGTAAGGTAATGCAAAAATAATATCTATTTTAGCCTTGTCAACTTCTATGCCCTTAGACGATACAATATGACCCAGGACTATCCCGTGCTCAACCATAAAATGACATTTTTCCCAATTAAGCACAAGATTAGTCTCTATACACCTTATCAGGATCAATTTCAGATTATCTAAACACGTATCAAAACTATCACCATACACACTGAAATCGTCCATGAAAACTTCAATAATTTTCTCCACATATTCAGAAAAAATACTTACCATACACCTCTGGAATGTTGCAGGTGCATTGCACAACGCAAATGGCATTCGTCTATAAGCAAAGGTCCCGAACGGGCACGTGAAGGTTGTCTTCTCTTGATCCTCTGGAGCAATTGCTATCTGAAAGTATCCTGAAAATCCATCCAAAAAGCAATAATAAGCTCTACAAGCTAAACGTTCAACCATTTGGTCAATGAAAGGGAGAGGGAAATGGTCCTTTTTGGTGACGGCGTTTAGCCTACGGTAGTCTATACACTGCCTCCATCCAGTGGGTTTGCGCACTGGCACGAGCTCACCCGTTTGGTTTGCCTCCACCGTCACCCCTGCCTTCTTTGGGACTACCTGGATCGGGCTTACCCAAGGGCTATCTGATATTGCAAAAATAATCCCCACATCTAGCAATTTTAAAATTTCTTTCTTTACAACTTCCATCATTAGGGGGTTGAGCCTCCTTTGAGCCTGCCTAACAGGTTTGGCATCCTCTTCTAGTCTAATCCGGTGCATACAGATGGCCGAGCTGATCCCCTTAATATCTGCGATTGTCCAACCTATCGCCTCTTTATGCTCTCTAAGGACCCGGATCAGTTTCTCCTCCTGGATTTTTGACAGTGTCGATGAGATAATCACCGGGAGTGTCTCATTATCACCCAGATATGCATATTTCAGGTGCTCTGATAGAGGTTTAAATTCTAGTACAGGTGCCTGCACCACAGATGGCAACACCCTCTGGTGAGGTTCGGGAGTAAAAATAGGTAAGACTTCATACCTTTTCGTGGTGGACTGCAATGAGTGTAATGCACCTATTGTGCATTTTAGGTCCTCGCTCCATTCCACCTCAGGAGTTGTCTCCAACTCGAGGTGCTTGGTCAAAGCCACCTCCAACTCATCCCTGCCATCAGTTTCAAACACTTCCTGCACTACAGGGTCAATAGCACTCACAGAGAAAACTGTGCTAAAGTTGGAGTTTGAGGGATATTTCATAGTATCAAAGATATTGAAATGCACAATTTTCCCATCAAACTCCATGAACAAGATACCCTTATTAACATCAATTTTCGTCTGTGCTGTGCTCATAAAGGGTCTACCCAATAACAGAGGTGAGGGATCAGGGGAGTGATCATCATCCATATCAAGTACATAAAAATCAGCTGGAAACATCAAATCATTAACTTTTACCAACACATCTTCAACCAACCCATCAGGATATGCATTAGTTCGGTCAACTAATTGAATGATTATTCCAGTTTCTTTTAATGGACCTAATTTTAGAGAAGCATAGATAGATTTAGGTATGAGATTAATTGATGCTCCCAGATCCAACATGGCCCTTCTATCACAGTATTACCTATCCTACAGGGAATAGTAAACATACCTGGGTCCCCGCACTTTGGTGGGAGCTTTCTCTGCAGGACTGCTGACACATTCTCCCCAACAATAACCCGTTCATCTTCCCTCAACTGCCTTCGGTTGACACACAAGTCCCTTAGGAACTTGGCATATTTTGGTACTTGTCTGATTGCGTCTAAGAGGGGGATATTTATCTCAACCTTGCGAAAAACCTCCAAGATCTCCTTCTCCTTATCCTCTTTTTTCGATTTTTCCAACCTGCTAGGAAAAGGAGGCGGGTTAGTTTTAGCTGTAATTATTGGGTCAGGAAGTACCTTTAGATCTGCACCATTGCTGTCCTCCCTTTCAAGCTCATTTTCGATCTTTTCCTCATCCTTATCCTTAGGGATCACAGGTTCAGACCCCTGAATTTCTTTCCCGCTCCTTAGGGTCATTGCGCTCACGTTCTTCGAATTTAATTCGGGCTGAAATGGCAATTTACCTTGGTTCTGGGAATCCAAACGGTTGATTGTTGTGACCATTTGACTTATCTGATTCCTTATATCCTTCATTTCGGAGTCCGTCCTTTGCTGATTTTGCATAATGGTTGCCTCCGTCATTTGCTGATTTTGAGCCATAGTTGTCATCATTTGTTTCATCATCTCCTCCAAAGATGGGCCAGAGCTTGGGGACGGAGGTGGTCGGGGTTGATATTGCTGCTGGTACCCTGGTGGCCTATTTGGCACAAAGTTAGACTGCCTGTTCGGTGTAATGTTGGGCTGCCTATTTTCTCCATAACTGAGGTTGGGATGATCTCTCCACCCGGGGTTGTAGGTGCTTGAGTAAGGGTCGTACTGCTTCCTTGGCGCGGGCGCGTGGTCAGCCATGTTCACCTGTTCTGCAGTTTCTTCCTGAATCATTGGGCACATGTCTGCAGAATGACCCATACCAGTGCAAATCCCGCACACCCTGGCTTGTGATGCATTTCTCACAGCCAGTTGCCTAACAAACGCGGTCAACTCAGTTAGCTGCTGCTGCATAGAGGGTGTCTCTACCTCATTCACCTTACGTATTGGGACATCCTCTCTTGTACTGAATTGTTGTGAATTCTCTGCCATCCCCTCTATTAACTCCCGTGCTTCCTGAGGGGTTTTGTTTACCAGTGCCCCTCCACTTGCAGCATCTTTTTTTTTGTGTGTAAGCGGGAGGACTCGAACCCGAGACCTCTTGCTTACACTCCCTCCCCCCGTACCACCCATCCCAACCCTCCCCCCTGGCATCAATGATGCTCCTGTCTCTAAAAAGGAGCCCCTCATAAAAATACTGTATGATCAATTGCTCACTTATTTGGTGTTGGGGGCACCTGCGCAACAAGTTCTTATACCGTTCCCAATACTCATAAAGTGACTTCCCTGGATGCTGCTTGATCCCACAAATTTCTTTCCTTAGACTTGCAGCCCTGGACGCAGGAAAATATTTATCCAAAAATTTTTTCTTCAATTGGTCCCACGTGGTGATGCTACCTGGTGACAGGTAGTACAGCCAGTCCTTCGCAGAATCTTTCAAGGAGAAGAGGAATGCCCTCATTTTTATCTGCTCTTCTGTGATTCCCGAGGGTTTCATACTATTACACACGACATCAAACTCCTGCAGATGCTTATACGGCTCTTCACCTGGTAAACCATGAAAAGAGGGTAAAAGCTGAATCAGACCAGATTTTAGTTCAAATGGAATGTTATCATTTAAAGTGGGGAAAGTAATGCATAAAGGCTGCTGAGTTAAATCAGGAGCAGCCAACTCCCTTAATGTTCGTGCATTAGCCATGGTGTCTTCCTCCTGGTCAGAGTCACTCGAAGT